CACAATGTCTCCAATTCTGCATTTAATAATCTTGATCAGTATCAACATATAAATCAGTTTTGGTCTTTTTCTGTGGAAAAGGCGAGTATGAGCAGGTCTCTTGTAGCATGAATTTTAATTGGCGTTAGTAATAAAAATTCATAGTCAGATATAGGGGTTAATGCTGAATATCAGAGAAGCAGAGCATCTAGCTGCTAGAGCGTTCTTTTATCTCTACCAATGCTCAGACAGGAGCAATTCCATCCTCAAGACTGCATCTCCAGACTACATCTGTCTCCACCAAACCTCAGACTGCACTGAGCTCCTATCTCCTCTCACCTTATATTCCTCTCTCTGCCCAGCCACATCATTCCTGTCTCCACCTCTCTAGTGCTGGGGTCACCTTTGTCTGAGCTGTTTCTCTTTTGGACAGATTCAATCTTATATAGCCCAAGGCGGTTTTGAACTAACAGAGATCCCTCTGTCTCTTTAATCCCCAGTACTGGGATTAAAGGTGGGTGCCACCACTCCCTGGCCTCTGGTGGCTTAGCTCTGCGCTCTGATCTTCAGGCAAGCTTTGTTTTTTTTATTTATTTATTTTTTATTTATTAAAGATTTCTGCCTCCTCCCCTCCACCGCCTCCCATATCCCTCCCCCTCCCTCATCAGCCCGAAGAGCAGTCCGGGTTCCCTGCCTTGTGGGAAGTCCAAGGGCCTCCCACCTCCTTCCAGGTCTAGTAAGGTGAGCATCCAAACTGCCTAGGCTCCTACAAAGCCAGTAGGTGCAGTAGAATCAAAACCCAGTGTCATTGAAACTTTATTTGTTAAAACACAAACACCATCACTACAGTCTCTGGAAGGCAGAGGTGGAGTGACTGGAAGTTGTAAAGCTACTACCTGACACAGGAGCTGGGAACTTGGGGCTGCAAGCTCTTAACTGAGCCATCTCTCCAGCTCCCTCGATACTGGGTCAATTTCTTTCTACTGTACTATGAAAACAAGGCTGAGACAGCACACATTTAAATAAAAATCTAGTTTCACAATACCTGCCTCACTTATCTCATGAAATTGTAGGCAGGAGCTGGCTATCCTGGAATTATAGCAGTGAATAATTGAATACTAATTTGAAAAATGTTCTGAAACCTTAATTTCATCTAATCTACTGTTATCAGTAATTCAATTGTCTAATGCTCAAGGGAATATTAACTGTAAAAAGTTATAGTCAGTAACCTCTTAAACTGTAGGAACTGTAGAACTGAGTGGATAGTGGATGTTAAATCACACGTAAAAGAAAATAAAGACCCATCATGCCTATGGACAGCTCCCAGAATACACTGATCCACAGAAGTCAGAGGAAGAACAGTGACACAGAACCTTAGGCCAAGGTCTGACTAGAACTTAAACATTCAAACACTCAATATGAAATCACAGACACCAAAAGTATCTATCTGCTGCTCATTCAACTAACACAACAACCAGTGCAGAGAGATACAGCAAACTCAGATCAACTAACACAACAGCCAGCGCAAAGATACAACAGAACCCAGATCAACTAACACAACAGCCAGTGCAGATACAAAAGAACTCAGATCAACTAACAAAACAGCCAGCGCAAAGATACAACAGAACCCAGATCAACTAACACAATAGTCAGTGCAGAGATTCAACAGAACTCAGATCAACTAACACAACAGAACCCAGATACAGAGAACAAAATGGCACCGTTTTTTGGAAGTTTTCCGGGTGGCCCTGTCTTGTACACTGAAATCTTAAACTAGGGTCACAGCAGGAACCGAACAGACAGTTGTGAGAAAGGCACAAGAACACAGAACTTGGTCAGAAGCTTCATCCTTTCTAATTCAATTCCTTACACAGTGTTGCAGGTCTGTTCTTCTAGCACTGAAGTGGTAGCACCAGAGGCAGGTGTACTGAGCTACGACTGTTCACGAAAAGGTACTCACAATAAATATGAACACAAAAATCAATAAAACTTCTTTAAAACAGTTAAGTTGAAAAAAAAGTTTAACGGCACTGAAATTTCAAACGAAATTTAAGGTTTTTTCATGTGTTTATGCTCAGTTGTATTAGTTTCTTCTCTCTTAACAAACCTGCAAGTAAATGTTTTAAAGGAGTCTGTCAAAACCAGAAGCCTAATAGTCATGTACCATGAACAGACGAATCTGTAGGGGAAGAGCAGAAAGCTAGTTTGACAACTTGGTAGGGTGTTATAACAAAGCTGTTTCTGATTAATATTCTGAAACAATAAAGTGGTGCAGGAGAATTGTCTGTATTCTGTCAATCATGTTTTAAATAAACACTGATTGGCCAGGCAGGAAGTTAGGCGGGTCAACCAGACAGGAAGTAGAGGCTGGGTGATGGGAACAGGAGAATTCTAGGAAGTAGGAAGCCCATTCCTCCCACTCCTGCCCAGACCACCAAAGAAGCAGGATGTGACCTGCCCCACTGAAAAAGGTACTGAACCATGTGGCTAACATAGACTAGACTAATGGGCTATGATAAGTCACAAGAGCTAATATGAAGCCTGAGCTAATGGGCCAATCAGTTTATAATTAATGCAGACTCTCTGTGATTTTCTTTGGGGCTTACCGGTTGTGGGAACTGGGCAGGATGGAAACCCCAACTAGCAGGGCCCCTGTGTTACAACAAACGGCTAACAATGACTGCAAAACAAACGTATCTGTCATTTTAAACAAGTCTGAATTAATGGAGATGGATTAAATTAAGATGTAATTACAAAAATTACAAAAATATACTAACTCACCCAAAATTATGATGTTTTTAAAAGCTTTAATGCCTGCTTGCCATTCCCCCAACTTGCTGTCGTTTTGTTGAGACAGGAACTGGGGTAGCTCAAGTTGGTTTCTGACCTATGTAGCTAGGGTTGATCTGAAATATTTGATCCTCCTTGAAGGAGGCCGCTAGTTAGTTCTTAGTCGCTTAGCCCTGCTTACCCCCAAAATAATCACACAGAAACTGTATTATTTAAATCACTGCTTGGCCCATTAGCTCTAGCTTCTTTTTTTTTTGTTTTGTTTTGTTTTGTTTTGTTTTTCGAGACAGGGTTTCTCTGTGGTTTTTGGAGCCTGTCCTGGAACTAGCTCTGTAAACCAGGCTGGTCTCGAACTCACAGAGATCCGCCTGCCTCTGCCTCCCGAGTGCTGGGATTAAAGGCGTGCGCCACCACCGCCCGGCTTAGCTCTAGCTTCTTATTGGCTAACTATTACATCTTAATTTAATCCAACTCCATTAATCTGTGCACCATCGTGAGGTCTGGCCTACTAGCAAAGTTTCAGCATGTCTGTGGACTCCATGGCTTCTCCCTGACTCCGCCTCCTTTCTCCCAGCATCCAGTTTAGTCCCGCCCAGCTCTGTTCCCCTATAGCTCTGATACAGGCCCAAAGCAGTTCCTTTATTAACCAATGATGTTCACAGCATATATACAGAGGGAAATCCCATATCACCTCCTAACTACTGAGATAACAGTCATCACCAGGCTATGTGAACACTTTTAGAAATCTTAAGTAAAGTTGTAACAAAAATCCAAGTACTGTGTCAGAGAGATTTGGAAACTGGATTGAATTCAATGCCTCTGGTCAACATGGTGGAAGGCAAGAACCAACTCCTGCAAGCTATCCTGTGATTTCTCCATGGGCACTGTGACAGACAAGCATTTACACACACACACACACACACACCCCAATATATATACATACATATATATATATATATATATATATTAAAGAATTCCAATGCAAGCAAAAGTACACACAAAAAAGTATTTTGAAAAAGCAGGAGTTCAAGTTAAAAATTTCAGTCTTTTGCCGGGCGGTGGTGGTGCACGCCTTTAATCCCAGCACTTGGGAGACAGAGGCAGGCGGATCTCTGTGAGTTCGAGACCAGCCTGGTCTACAAGTGCTAGTTCCAGGACAGGCTTCAAAACCACAGAGAAACCCTGTCTCAAAAAAACCAAAAAAAAAAAAAAAAAAAAAACCAAAAAAAAAAAAAATTTCAGTCTTTTAATCATTAGCCATCTTTGTAAGCTGGTACAACAGCTACCACCTTCTTATAAAAGAAAAAAAAAAAAAGCACGAGGAGCCATGGGTGTAGGTCAGTGGAACAGCGGCGATCTGTGCCGTGATGATAAATCCCAGCATACAGTAAAGTTCGCAGGGAATTTTGTCTGTAACCGGGAAGAAATCACCAAATTTTCACAACAAACTCAAATCCCCGTCTTATTTTCTGATTCTGCGGTTTAAATACCACAAACTGATCATTTTCAGCTGTTGGCTTCGTCTTCAGTGATTATGCAAAACGATGAAATAAAAATTTAAACTTAAGATTAACTGGTACACGTTTTGGAAAAGTCGGTTTTAAATGAATTCTGGCCAATAACGGCACTGCAAAGTATCCATATTCTGAAAAGAATTACTAATCTGACATCCCATCCTGAGAAAACCCCATCTTTTGAGGTTTCACTTTCTCCAGCCTTGTGATTTTTTTTTAAAGGCGCTTTTCAAAGCTTTCCCTACCCTTGTCACCTGAGTAAAAAGGATCCCTTGTTCTGCTTCTAACGCGCAACTATCCTTCAACAACAAAGTCAATTACTAAGTGGCGTCGAAAACGGACGGGTTCCCTTCCTTTTTTTTTCCATGAATGCACAAGACCTTTCAAAGTCGACGGACGCCCAGGAGGGGTGCGGGAGCCGCGGAGCCGAGCCGCGGTACCAGGAGCGGCGGGCTCCACCTCGGCTCCACCTCGCGTCCTCCGAGCTCCGCCGCACAGCCCAGCCGGGCCCGGCTCCGGGCGCGCAGCGATGCGGAGCCCCGCCGCCTCGGCAAGGCCTGCGGCCCCAGCCCGGCACTCTGGAGGCTGCCGGGGACCACGGGCAGGGCCCCGAGGACAGAGACGACCCGATGCGGCCGGGAGCCGGCGCCGCGCTCTGCCGCCAGGCACCGAGAAGCCCGCTAGGCCGCGAAGCCGGGGGTCGCCGCACGTACTCACCAAATTTGGAACTTGAGCAGCGGCCCCGTGGCGTACTGCATCTTTAATCTCTTGCTGGGCACGCCGCCCAGGTTGGCAGAGGCCTCGCTGCGGACCACCGCCGACGCCGCCACCAGGAGAAGCAGCAGAAGCCTCATCTTCGCGGAGACGGGCGCTCAAGCCGGCCGCCTTCAGACCGAGACTGCAGCCAGCACCAAAACCTGGCCGCGAACCGCTCCCCACTGCGCAGGCGCGCTCCGCCAAGGTCGGCCAGGGAAGCCGGGCTGCGCCTGCGCAGCCGGCGCCCGCGCCCATTGTGGGAAGGAGAGCTGTGACCTGTTTGGCTTCCTTGATCCACCACCATCTTGGATGTGTGCAAGGGAGAGAGGGAGAAATTTTGCTGGTGAGATATAAAGAGGGCCGGTAATTGTTTCACTTGGCAGATATGAGTTCTACATTCTCCCCATTTATTTATTTATTTTTTTAAAAGACATTCTCATACAGCCCAGACTTTGCTTCGATGTAGACAGCTAGAAGCCTTGGACACCTGATTCTCCTGCCTCAGCTCCTCAGTTTTTGGATTACAGACCAGCTTATCATCATCATCGGCATTATTAGGGGTTGAACAGTTGATTTGAAGATGCTAGGCATGGACTGTACTACTGAGCTACACCTCCCAGCTCTTCTACATCCAAGGGCACGCCCAAATGGTTTTTTGAGACAGGGTTCCTCTAGCTTTGGAGCCTGTCCTGGAACTAGCTCTTGTGGACCAGGCTGACCTCGAACTCACAGAGATCCGCCTGCCTCAGCCTCCCGAGTGTTAGGATTAAAGGCATGCGCCACCACCGCCGACTAAGGTCAATTGTTTAATGACTTTTCCTTTACTCTTACAATATTGAACTCTCCTAAAAGAATTGAAAACATTTTATGTTTCCGGTAAGATGATTACATCTGTTCCAAGATGCAGTTTGATCATCATAAATAATTGGCTTCATTTTGTGGTTATGGTGATGGTTTGTCCTACAAGGTTCCTGTCGCTTTTGATGTTGGGCCTTTATCATAAAGATATTTAGTGCTTAGTCGTGTCGCTCCTGGACTCCAAGGTATCTGCAAGTTAGGACTACTTCTGGGGGGCCTTCCTTTGCAGTTGTAGGAGGACATCTTACATAAAATCGTACTATTCCTTTCGGCGTCTTTTCAGAGAAAAGTGTCACCTTGCAGAATGGATGCTGGTAGGAAAGAAATTGTTGGGTATAAGATGCTCATTTGTAGTAGGAAGCGGTGGGGGGGGGGGGCTTGTTGGGTATAAGATGCTCATTTGTAGTAGGAAGCGGTGGGGGGGGGCTTGTTGGGTATAAGATGCTCATTTGTAGTAGGAAGCGGTGGGGGGGGGGGCTTGTTTGTCCCGGCAGCCCCGCTACTCATTACTGGTAGTATAACTGTGGACATTATCTTGATGGGGCATGGTGGCCCACGCTTTTCAACGCAACACTCAGGAGGCAGGTGGATCAGAACAGCCAGAGCTACAGAGAGAAACTTTATCTCAATAAACGACAGAACAAAAAATTGTGGACATTACCTGAAATTCATTGCTGGGCAACTTTTACTGAAACAATTATTAACCAATACTTATGCTGGAATATACAATTTAGTTCCAAAAGTCACAATCTCAAGGATATTTTAATAGTGGGGAAAATGCTTTTCGTATCATTTCAGTGGGAAATGGAGGATATAGCATTCTATTTAGGGTATCCCTTTATGTGTCTCAACCTCCATCAGCAAACATGTCAGAGTTTTCAGTGTGGCTACTTTGAGAGCAGTCAATGTTTGTATCTTCCTCCTTATTTTTTCTATATCTCCTTCCCTCCCCCAAACAATGGTTATATTACTTTTCTATTATCACAAATATGTTCTCCATTATTTAAAATGAGGATGGGGTAGGGAACGCAAAATCATCCTTAGGAACCTAATAAAATCCTTCCTAGTTTTTCTTTGATTTAAATGATTTGGGTTTGCATGGTTTGGTCTTTTTCAGATAGATTCTTAGTATGAAGTATAGGTTGTCCTGAATCTATATAGCCCAGGCTGTCCTAAAGCTTGAGACTCTCCTGCATCTGCTTCCCAAGTGGTGGAATTATAGGTGTGTACCACAGTATCCAAGTCTTTGTTTCTTTTCCTTTCTGCTTGAGACAAGGTCTGGTATAACCCAGGCTGGGTTCAAGCAACCTATATAGCATAGCCTTGAACTGCTGGTCTTCTTGCCTCACGTCCCAGTTCAGGGACTATGTGTGCATGGCAAGGCCAATGAGAAGAAAAGATAGACAAGAGAGTATGCCCGATGGTCGTTGAGCCCCAAGATTCATCTGCCTTTGCTTCCCTATGGCTGAGATTGTCTAGAATAATCACACCCAGGACTGGAGAGATGGCTCAGTGGTTAAGAGGACTGGCTGTCTTTCCAAAGGACATGGTTTCCGTTCACAGCATCCACATGGTGGCTACCAATTGTCTATAACTCCAGTTCCAGGGGATCAGACTCCCTCTTCAGAGTCATGCATACTATTGTAAGTAAAACACCCATACACATAAAATAGAGATAATAAACCTCCAAAAATTAATCTCATCTACTTATTTTTTTGAGACTGAGTCTATGTAGCTATGTCTGTTTTGGAACTCACTATCTGGACCAGGGTGCCTCAAACTCACCTGTTTCTTCCTACTGAGTTAAAGATAAATTCCACTATGCCTGGCTTTTTTTTAAATATTTATTTACGGTGTGTGTGTGTGTTCTTGTGTGCACCATGCAAGTGTGGAGGTCAGAGAACAACCTATGGGATTGGGTCTCTCCCTCCACGTTGTGACTTCTGTGAATTAAACATTGTCGGGCTTAACCCCTGAGTCACTTCACCAACACCAACAAGGACCACATTCTGGGACTGAGCACTTTATCAACAAAGCCATCTCCCTGGTCTCCACCTCCTTAGTGCTGGGATTAAAGGTATGTGACTCCTGCATACTGGATTAAAGGTGTGAGTTGCCACCACCAGGCTGTGTTTTTCTTTGATCCTGGAGAGATTACCCAGGATGGCCTTGAACTCAGAGGTTAAATCTTGCCCTCTCCCAAGTGCTGGGATTAACCACCGCTCTACACTCTGATGCTGGTTGTACTGGAGATCTGCATGCGGAAGAATGCAAACAGACACATACTTATCACCTGCCTGCACAAAACTCAACTCCAAGTGGATCAAAGACCTCAACATAAAACAGACACACTGAACCTGACAGAAGAGAAAGTAGGGAGTAGCCTTGAACTCATTGGTGCAGGAAAAAATTTTTAAATGGAACACCATTAGCGCAGGCAAGTGAGACCCTGTCTTGAGCCCCTCCCCAACAGAAAATAAAAAAACCACAAATCTAAATAGAGAATTCTCAATAGAGGAAAACTCAAATGTCTGAGAACAAGGTATTCAACATCCTTAGTCATCAGAGAGATGCAAAGCAAACCAAAACTACTTTGAGGTTTCATCTTACACCTGTCAGAATGGCTACAATCAATAACACAAGTGACAGCTCCTGCTGGTGAGGATGTGAGCAAGGGGAACCATCCATTGTTGGTGGGAAGTCCTTCTGTATATGTGCTGCTTTTACTGGTTAATGAAAAAAGCTGCTTTCGGCCAATGGCTTAACAGAGTAAAGCCAGTAGGGAAATACGAACAGAGAGTAGGCAGAGTCAAGAAGATACCATGTAGCTGCAGGAGGAGACAGATGCCAGACCCTAACAGGTAAACCACAAGCCTCGTGGTAAAATATAAAATAATAGAAATGGGTTAGTTTAAGATATAAAAGCTAGCCGATAAGAAGCACGAGCTAATAGGCCAAGCAGTGTTGTAATAATAGTTTCTTTTTTTTGTTTTTTTTCCGTTTATTTATTAAAGATTTCTGTCTCTTCCCCGCCACCGCCTCCCATTTCCCTCCCCCTCCCCCAATCAAGTTCCCCTCCCTTGTCAGCCCACAGAGCTATCAGGGTTCCCTGCCCCATGGGAAGTCCAAGGACCACCCACCTCCATCCAGGTCTAGCAAGGTGAGCATCCAAACTGCCTAGGCTCCCACAAAGCCAGTACGTGCAGTAGGATCAAAAACCCATTGCCATTGTTCTTGAGTTCTCAGTAGTCCTCATTGTCCGCCATGTTCAGCGAGTCCGGTTCTATCCCAGGTTTTTTCAGACCCAGGCCAGCTGGCCTTGGTGAGTTCCCAATAGAACATCCCCATTGTCTCAGTGTGTGGGTGCACCCCTCGCGGTCCTGAGTTCCATGCCCATACTCTCTCTCCTTCTGCTCCTGATCTGGACCTGAAGATTTCTGTCCAGTGCTCCAAAGTGGGTCTCTGTCCCTGTCTCCCTTCATCACCTGATGAAGGTTAATAATAATATAGTTTCTGTGTGATTATTTCGGATCTGGAAAGCCAGGAAATGAACAAGTAGCCTCTGACTATAATACACCACTATGGAAATGAGTTTGGCACTTCCTCAGAAAGATCAGAATCCATCTACTTCATGATCTAATTATAGAACTCTTGGGCATAAACCCAAAGGATGCTCCACCCTCTCACAGAGACTCTGGATCAACGATGTTCTTTGCTGCTCTATACAGAAGAGCCAAAAGTGGAAACAACCTAGATGTCCCTAAAGTGAAGAATGGATAAAGAAAATGTGGTACATTAACACAATGAAGTATTACACAGTTGTTTAAAAAAAACACACACAAAATTTACAGGCAGATGGATGGGACTAGACATCATCCTGTATGATAGCCCAGACCCCACAAGACCAATATTTGATTTTATGTTGATATTAGCTGTTAAATCATTGGCAATCAAGCTATAATTGATAGAACCATAGAGTATAGGTATAGAGTAAGGAACTACAGGGAACAGATAGCTCCTGTTAGGATAGGGAAATTAGGTAGATAGATAGATAGATAGATAGATAGATAGATAGATAGATAGATAGATAGGGATGGATGGGTGGATGATGGGGTGGCTAGAATGGAAGGATTTAAAGGGGAACAAGTAGGTAAAGAGGGCTGTAGGAAAGAATAAGGGGAGAGAAGCTAAAATTACAGGGCATTTGAGGGATAGTGCAGAAATCTAACACAATAGAAACTTCCCAAAATATGCAAATGCATGAATTCTTCCTGAATGAAATCTCCAAATACTGGCAGAGACAGAGTCCCACTACCCAGATGAAGCTTCCAGTACCGGGATTGGGTTACATTTAATTGAGCTGTTGGCCAAAAAAAATCCCCACAGGAATCCCCAAATAGCCCAGAATATTGCCAAGACTATGGGTTGCCCTCTACAAACTGACAGAAAGGCCCCAGCTGAAGACACCTACACAACTCACTGACCACGGAGATGTTGAGCTGGTGCCCACATAGAACCTTCATCCCTATGCTCTAGCGTCTTTGGGTACAGTACTCTGCAGGCTTCCAAAAAGAGAAATAGAAATACAAAACCAGTCACAAACCTTTGATCTATAAAAGTAAATACTACCTGCAAGACATGCTAGAGCAATGGTGGCACAAATTTGTGGAGTAATCAACAGATGACTGATTTAAGACCCAATCTACAAGACAGAACGTACACCCATCACTATATAGCCCAGGGACTTAGGGGAAAACCAAATGCTGGTCTAAGGGGGGAAAAAAGACAAAAAAAAAAAAAAGAAATATAATGACTCCTACTGATATTCTTCTATACTCATAGATCAGTGTCTTGTTCAGTCATCGTCAGAGAGAGATGCTTTCTCCTGCAGCAGATGGGAATAAAGAGACACAGCCAGACATTATGTAATGAGTTAAGAGACCTTGAAACACCTAGACCCTAAAAGGTCCATCAAATCCCTCTCCTCAGAGCTCAGGGAACCCCGGGGAAGTTGAGGAAGAAAAGGTTTAAGAGCCAGAGAGGATGGAGGACACAAGAAAAGAAAGCCCTCTAAATCAACACGAGCAAAGCTCCTGTAACTCAGGACCAAAGCAGCACAGTCCTCTCCATTTATATAATGGATGGCTTCCAGGTTAGTGTTTTTATGGGATTCTGGACTGGGTCTGATTGGTGTGCCTTTTCCTTCTATTGGTTTATCTTGTCTAACTTTGATGTGATTTTTGTTTTATCTTAATTTTTATTTATTTTATTTATTATTAAAAAGAACAACAAATGGATGAAATCCTAGGCACTAGGATAAAGATTTAACAGCTGAAGTACCCCACCCCACCTGCTGGGAAAGGGAACCCATCGTTTCCAATGGAGTAACTGACACTGGGTATTTCAACCATTCCAGGGCAGGCCTCATGTTCAATAGCTGACCAACACCTAATGACTCCAGTTTTCTTGTGTACTTTTGATTATAGTTTGGTGGGGTTTTTTTGTTTTGTTTTGTTTTTGGTTGCTGTTTTATTTTCTTGGTTTTGGGTTTTTGGGTTTTTGAGAAATAATTTAAAGTTTGGTGGATAGGGAGGGGGAGAGGGGAAGAATGTGATCAAGATACATTTAAATTTTAAAAATAGCTTTAAAAAATAAAAACATAATAAAGAAAAAATTGACTGGCACATAAATGCTTCTGCTTACAAATGACACCCTCAGTTCTAAGAATTCATTAGCCGAAGCAAAGCATTTACACAGAATTGATAAGGTGTAAACATGAGGTAGAATACTTTTGACATGCCTAGATGAAAACAAGAAATATCTGGGATGGGCAAGATAGCTCAGTGTGTAAAGGTGCTTGCTGCCAAGTCTGAAGACCCGAGTTTGATACCCAGGAACCACATAGTGGAAGGAGAGAACCAACTCTCAACATCTGTTCTGACTTCTACGCACATGCCCGGCACACATGCACACACTTAATTAAATAAGTATGATAAAAAAAACTAATAAAAGTACTTACTGGTAGGCTAGTCATACTCCATATGAATATTACTAAATATTGAATGCCTATAGCTGTTTACCGGCCACGTCTTTTTTTTTTAAATTTACTTATTTATTATGTATACAATATTCTGTCTGTATGCCTGAAGGCCAGAAGAGAGCGCCAGACCTCTTTACAGATGGTTGTGAGCCACCATGTGGTTGCTGGGAATTGAACTCAGGACCTTTGGAAGAGCAGACAATGCTCTTAACCACTGAGCCATCTCTCCAGCCCCCTGGCCACGTCTTTTCTATTCTAGGTCTTGGGATTGTTTTATTCTCATAGAACAACTTGCAAATGTACAAGTAAACAGACTACAAACAATGAATGTCCAAATGACGCATGTATCCCTTTGTAACCTACACTGTATCTAATAAACACCCGAGGAACTGCTGCATCAAACCTAAAAGAAGGGGGAAGGTTATTGCTTATAGACCAGATTTGACTTTATGGTGTTGATGGCCGGGTATGACAGAGAACAGGGCACCTGATACAGGCTTCCTCTCCTCCTCCTTCTCCCCGACAGGAGAAAACTCACCCTACAACTTTGTTAAAATTAGCATAGCATGTCACAATCATCCCTATCATTTTAGTACTCACAAACTGTGTTGGTTTGAATGAGAAGGGCCCTCAAAGGCTCATATATTTGAATGTTTGCTTTCCAGTTGGAGGAATTGTTTGGGAAGGATTAGGAAGTGTGTCACTGCGAGTGGGCTCTGAGGTTTCAGAAGGCCACGGGAAGCCCGCTCTGTCTCTTGGCCTGTACCTTAGGGTCAGATCGGTGCTGCTCTACTGTCACTGCGAGTGGGCTCTGAGGTTTCAGAAGGCCACGTGGAGCAGCCACGCATGTCTGCCTGCTGCCACGCTCCCCACTATGACAATGACATCCCCCGGAAATGTAAGCAAGCCCTCAATAAATGCTTGCTTTCTCAGTTGCCTTGGCCATATGCTTCATCACAGCATTAGTTACATCCTACAGAAGACTTACTACGACACAAACTCTTGCCAGCGTGCCTACCTTTGGATACTCATAACCAACATATTTACGTTAAACTGTTTGAAACCCCACTTGATAAAAACTTAGTGGCCTTGTCCTTTCTAGTACCTTACTAACTCAAGATGCACATAATGCAGAAATGACCACCAAGCATCAGTGAACTAAGTTCCCAAGTCCAAAGCAAACCCAATTCTAGTATAGAGATGAGCACCTCTGCTTCGTTAGTAAGCACGCGTGGACATGTGCCTGAGTTTCAACACTAAATGTGCATCAGTGTGAATGTTTCTAACTGCTACATTGCACATGATAGATGTGATAATTATAGATGACAGAGTATAGATATGGGAAAAGCTCCATGATATTTTAAGACAAAGGGGGCACAAAGGGGACTTACTGACCGTTTCCTTTCCTTTTCATGGTTTCTGACCTCAAACTTGTGATACTCCTTCCTCATCCCCTACCCCACACCCCTGAGCTCTGGGATTACAGGTGTATGACATTACACTTGGCACAGAATAACTTTTATATCCCATCATTTCTTTAAAATCTACATGAACATATATATCTGAATGTACATACACTTTGTACCTTTAAAACATAAGAACTGATGAATGTTGCTACAGAATATAGGCAAAAGACGAGCTTTCATTTTATGCTGTCTTCCCCCGACTTCCTAAAAATGTGTACATGTGTACTTTCTAAAGAAATACAAAAATTAGTACTCTCATGATGGGTGGGGAAGGGTCTTGTTGCCAAGCCCGACAACCTGAGCTGATGCTAAGAAACCACATGGAGGAGAACCGACTTCTACAGATTGTCTTCTGACCTCCATGTGTGAGCCACGGCACACGCCACCCACCAACACACCCACCTAAACATCCAATAAACAAATGGTTTTTTAGTTTTTTGGTTTTTTTTTTTTTTTTGGTTTTTCGAGGCAGGGTTTCTCTGTGGTTTTGGAGCATGTCCTGGAACTAGCTCTGTAGACCAGGCTGGTCTCGAACTCACAGAGATCCGCCTGCCTCTGCCTCCCAAGTGCTGGGATTAAAGGCGTGCACCACCACTGCCCAGCTAAAACAAATGTTTAAAACCAACAACAAAAATCTTCAAAAAGTCAAATAGAGAAATAGCAAAAGGAAGAACAATTTACTAAAATATGAACAACTGACAAATTTGGCAAAAAACACATAAATGCATCCCTAATAAAAAAATAGATGTAACCAATAACAAAAAAATATCATTTTTAGTTTATTAATCTGGCAAAAATTCAAAGGCCCTTTTACAGTCAATACCAATAAAGGTGAATAACTTTACTGGTGGATGAATAAATTATCAGTGTTTATAAAAGTAAGAGTGAGCACAGTTCGGGACCAGACAGTCACTGCCCTCGGGACACCAGCAGTGTGCCACAGGAACCTAGCGCATGCACTCTGGAGTCAGAGTACTTCTGTCCAACTCCACTTCCCACACACTACCAGGTTGCTTTCTTTTTAAAATATTTATTTTTATTTTAAGTGTATGGGTGTTTTGCCTGCATGTATAACTGTACATGCCTGGTGCCTGTGGAGGCCAGAAGGAGGCGTCAGATCCCCTGGAACTGGAGTAACAGACATGGCTGCAGGTGGTGCTGGAACTCTAACTTGGATCCAGTGTCCTTATCTAAGCAGCCATCTTCCCAGCCCCTAAAGATTTCTTACTTTCTGGACTTAAGTTTCTTCACTTATAAAAAATAGACATGATAGCAACATACACTTCATATTTTGTTATAAGAATAATATATCCTGTAAATTTATAATAAAGAACTTCTTAACTTGAAAGCAAAAATAAATTTAAAATGTCTTTAATTATTTATTTATATAGGAAATTCTGTTACCTATTTTAAAAAAAGTCTGTCAATTTGTCAAGCTCATCTTAAAGAAACCATCTCTCTTTATCACATACTGACATGATACAGGATGTAGATGTCAAAGTCAACTTGATAGACATCATTAAATAATCACACATATGCAGTGTTGGATAAACAGTTAACAATACAGACTGATGTTAAAGGTGGGCATGTAGAGATTCCATCAATACCATGGGATTAACAAACGTGTTTCCTGCCAACAAATTGATTTCTGTGAATCTTCACACTCCCAATTCCAAGTCTTCAAGCTCCTGGAGAAGGGCTGTCTCTTTTTGAATTTTCTCCAACTACAAACATTTCAAACAATAAAATTATTAAATAGAAAATAATTATTGGATCTGTAACCTAACAGTATGAAGGACAAAATTTAGAGATGGAATATTCTTACACTTTATCAGACCCACGGCAGAGAGCTGTCATACTGTCACTCCAGCTCAAGATTCCCTGCATCTGCTTGTGCTTCAGAGTACTGAGAACAAGGGGAGGGAGATGGCAAGCAGGCCAGCGCAACAGACAGGGGAGTCCACTATTTACCTACAGCTGTCATTACTTTGTATTACAGAGACTCCACTAGGATACCCCTTAGGAACGTGACTCATTCACCGTGATATAAGGCAGCTTCTCCTACCACAGACAAAACTTTAAGAGTAGCAGAAAGAAATTTAAAAAGTATTAGAAGGAATTTCACAAGCAGTTTCCCAGACAAGTTCGTCAGTTCTGCGCTTTTCTCCTTACACTCATGGGGTGGGGGTGGGGTATGCTGATGAGTCCACAAGGCAAGTGAAGCCTTACCTGATTTTTCTCTAGCTGCTTACCAGCGGCTGCCTGCTCTTTCAGCTGCTCTATTGCTTTTAGTTTCTGTGAAATCAAATACAGGGAAGGAGAAAGAAGAAAAGTTACTTTCTAAAGCAATTCTCCCCCACACTCCCACCTCCGGGTTTCTCTGTGTATTTTAGGCTATCCTGAAACTCACTCTGTAGACCAGACTGGCTTCAGACTCACAAAGATTCACCTGCCTCTACCTTTTGAGTGCTGGAATTAAAGGTGTATGCCACTATGCCCGGCTAATGCAAATTATTTTATCAACAACAATCGTACTTCATTTCTTTCAGAGACAGTCTATTAAAAATGCTAGGACAAGCCAGGTGGTCATGACACACACCTTTAATACCAACACCTGGTAGGCAGACGCAAGTGTGATCTCTGTGAGCTTGAGGCTAGCCTAGTCTGCAGAGTGAGTTCCAGGACAGCCAGAGCTGTTATATAAAGAAATTCTGTCCCAAAAATCAAAAACAACAAGAAAAAAAAAAAGTTAGGATAAATTCTTTTTAAAAGTTAAATATAGCCGGGTGGTGATGGCGCACGCCTTTAATCCCAGCACTTGGGAGGCAGAGGCAGGCGGATCTCTGTGAGTTCGAGGCCAGCCTGGTCTGCAAGAGCTAGTTCCAGGACAGGCACCAAAGCTACAGAGAAACCCTGTCTCGAAAAACCAAAAAAAAATTAAATAAATAAATAAAAAATAAAAAAGTTAAATATAAAAACGTGGGATTAGGCAAACTAGGTTTTTGCAAGATTTTGGGTTTTTTTACTTGTTCTGTGTGTAGGTGTCTAAGCTGTGGTGCGTACATGGAGGCAGAGGAACCCTGTAGAGTCTGCTTTCCCTCTCCTGTCACCTCTCCGTGAGTGCTGAGATCAGACCTGGACTGTGAGGTTTGCACAGCAAGTTTTCAGTGATGTTGTGAGTGTGCGGGTATGGTTTCACAGCTACAACACAGGTGTCAACATCTAATTCAACACTGCACAGTGGCAGGACAATGTCTCTGGACTTAGAAGTCTTTCCCCCACACACTGTAAGTTCCCTTCTGTGTGTGTGTGTGTGTGTGTGTGTGTGTGTTCATGTTATAAACTGGAATAAAGTACTTGTCCCCATCTAACTCGAAGGGAGCCACTGAAAGCCGAGGACAGGATTCAGGGCTGGGAATGCAGCTCAGCAGAGCAGCACTTGTTTAGCATCTGTGAGCCCTGGGCTCACTCTCCAGCCCACAGTGATGACAATAAGAAACACCTTTACTACACAGATGTCTATCGTTCCTTATTACTACAAAATTAACAGATTAAGCAGCTTCAGTCGCTAAAGCATGTGTGACTGGAACTGACTTGTGATTCATGGAAACAAAGGAACAATGAGAACTGTTACCGACTCTAACCCCGTTGAGCGCCTGAGTTCCACTCTTAATGATGCTTCTCTCACAAACATGCCTCCTGATGACATGCCTATTCTTCATTTAGTCTCTCACCTTCTTAAGATTCTTAATTTTTTTGTCTACTTCAGGATCTCCCGAAGTAGACTGGGCGATAGTGTTCCGTGGTGCACTCTGAGGGACAGGAGTAGGAGCCACATCACTTCTTGCTTCCTAAGGGGAAACACATTTACACAGCTATTTCCTCTCAGTCTGTGTGAGACAGCCGAGTGGGTAAAGGTGCTTGGCAACAAGCCTGACAGCCAAAGTTCAGTTCCTGGGACCCACATGCTGGAGGGAGACCACAGCACACGTGTGGTCAGAGGACAGCCCGTAGGCATTGGTTCCTTCAACTGTGTGGTCCCAGGGGTCCTGAATCTGACCAATTAAAACACATTTCTAGAAGTGTAATATATATATACAAATATATGTATTATATATATTATACTATTAGTATATATAATAAACTAAAATATGAAAGAGAACAACTTCAAGTTCTAGAAGAATATAACGTGATTCTAACTTTTGAAATTACATTATTGGGCCAGCGAGATGGTTCAATAGGTAAAGATGCTTGTTGTTGGGCAGTGATGGCGCACACCTTTAATCCCAGCACTCGGGAGGCAGAGGCAGGTGGATCTCTGTGAGTTCGAGGACAGCCTACTCTAGAGTGAATTCCAGGACAACTAGAGCTGTTATACAGAGAAAACCTGTCTCGAAAAAGAAAAGAAAAAAAAAAAGATGCTTGTTGCCAAGTCTGACAACCTTAGGTTGCCCTTCAACCTCACTGGGGCACATTTCCTCCTGATGAAACAATCCCTCCAAGGAGGGGAGCAGGGGAAGAAAAGGTCACAGATCCTGGAAAGCAGAGAGTTGAAGGCCCTCCCAGCGTTATAAAAGGAGTAGACAACTGCCAGGCTAAAGAGAAGAGACACAGTGGAGCTGCTGCGCAGAGAGCACCAGGGCTGCAGCGTTTGTACATAGATAGCACTCTGCTGTGCTGGGCTTTTCAGCAATGTCGCTAGTTGCCTTGAGACATCTCTGTTCCTTATAAGTAACCCCTTACCCACAGTCCTGTTAGCAGCCCCAGTAAAACTTACTGGTTCACCAAGCTGGACTTTGGTACAATTGTTACTCTGGACTGTTGTGGGTGAAGAGATGAGTGTGTTGCAACTCCCCAGGAAAAGTCTATCATGGAACACCCCTCCACATGTGTGTGGATGTGTCTCAGGAGTGGGTGCATGCTCACTTGGACAAGTTCAAACTTCAAAACCCATTTTAAAAGTCAGATACACTAGACAGGGAGGGTCAGGAAGCAGAAGAAGCACACCTGGAGTTCACTCATGGGCCAGCCAACCTGGAATATAACAGCACAGCAGGGAAATACGGGGGTGCTGGCCCAACAGGTTGGAAGGTGGCTCTTGACAGCTACACACACCTGCACCCCCGTACCCGGAAATGATTAGGGCATGAGTGCTCCAACTTCATGCCTGGGATTAGTGTATTCTTAGGAGACTCTATGTCCTCCACTATGGAAGGACACAAAAAGGAAGTCCTCCCCCAAGCAATGAGACCAGCCCCACCTTGCTGAGACTCCAGCCACAATAACTGTGCCAATAAGCTTCTACTGACTAGAAATTATCAACCTAAGGAAGGTATTTTTATCTAGAGTAAATAGACTAAGGTATCTGCTCTGCCTAAATCTCAAAAATGTGGTTACTGACTTCACCAACCAGATATTCCCAATACAGCTGAACACTCTATCACAATGAACAATATAACACTGCAAGTTATATCAATTATTACAAATACCTGGTCTTTGCTTAAGTATATAAATAAAAATTATTTTTAGTCAACTTTCATTTTGATTACTTAGTAGTTCTAAGTTTTTCGTATTTCTGATTACTTAGATTTTCAATTAAATTAATTCTATGTAGCAATGTAATACTGAGTAACACATACTTTAACAGTTATGAAATTTTCAGGTTTTCAACCCTTTTCCTTTATTTTGAAGACAAAGCCTTATTCTGTAGCCCTCCCTGGCCTCATTATGTATCCTAGGCCAGATGGCCCTCACACTCAGCCTCCCAAGTGCTGGGATTGCAGGTGTGAGCTGCCACACCCCTCTTTCAGCCTCTCTTGATAAACACGTTTCTCCAGGAAAGCCAACCACACCACTTGTAGTTTCCATCAAGAGTCTGCGGTAAGAACACGTGACACAGTCCCATCCACCAGCACGGGTCTCAAGGTCAGGTCTAGGGTCTTCAGACTTTTTCTTTTTTATCATTTTAGATTTTAGATTCATATATTAATGGTTTGGTCCCCAAGGTAGTGCTACTAAGAGGTGGGCCTAATGGAAGGGAATGCTCGAGAGCACAGCGGAACGACAGCTGTATCTTACTCCACAACAGGTTTCTGCCCTGATATGCTATACAAGCCCAAGGCAATAAAGAGAATAAAATGAATTACAAAGAGATGAAGCTGTAGGCCAAAGGCAGATCACTTGCCCACCATCTGCAAAGCCCTAGGTTCAGTCCCTAGCACCACTAAAAACAGACACAGTGGTATACACTCATCCTCAACAGTTAAGAGGATGAGGAAGGAGGATCATAACTTGAATGTCAGCCACACACTACAAGACAAGAACCTGTTACAGAACCATACAAACAAAATCCTGTGAGTCAAAATAAATCTTCTATCTTTACAACTTTATTAGCCAGAATCCCACGGTAGTGAAAGAGGTTAGCAGTTACCTAATAAAGATATAGATACTAACAGATACCAATTCAGAGGCAGGCACAAGAGAAAGCTACCTGGCTACTGACATCTAATTCCAACTACATTTTCTCACATCACAATCACATCTTTAGGAACGTAATTGCTAACATGTCGTGGGTTAAAGCTAGATCAAGTAGCTTTTGGCTTGGTTTTGAAGAGCTCATTACTCCAAATACCTGTTTTGCAGCTTTTTTAGCTTCATGCTTCCTTTGATTTTTAAGGGCTGTTTTTGATAACGGCTTGTCACTTCCTTGATGTGGTTTCATATTCTGGGGAGGTTCATCTTCATGCTATGGAAAATGTAAAACAAGCACTTCTGAAATGGAGTCCAATAGCAAATTAAGTACCTTAACTAGTCTAGGACAATTTTATCAGAATTATTTAAGAAAACTGGCATGGAATGTTTCAAATCTCTTAATAGTGTTCTAAATAAGGGCCTCCCTATTAGCTGATATGAATCTTCTAGTTACAAAAGTCCAGGCAAAATTCACTTTGGTTTATAGAAACAATGAAATTTGTCTCAGGACTACTAGAGACGTGTAGTTCTCATGAAATTTGAGTAACAACAGCTTCTCTGTGGGGTTTTGATGTGATTAATAACATTGCGAAGCAACAACCTCATTTGTTTTCTTCACAACAAGAATCATGTTACAGCTCTTTACTGGGAAAGTTAAGTTGAAAGGTTAAGTATTGTTGAAACAGGCTATCTCAATGGGATTTGAGAGGCTTTTGAGATTTTTTTAGTCAAGAAAGAAGGATGTAGTTTTCTTTTTGTGCAAGCCAGGAAAAGGATAAGAAGTTTTATTCTTTGAACGTGTTATCTAATTCTCTGGGTACCAGTTTATTCAGCCCCTTTAAAAGGAACATTCAGCTAGGGTGTGACTCCACTTCTCTAATAACCTCAAGAACATGGAGTTCATGCTCACATATTCTTTATTAATATCAACACAGAAATTCAGACCACTTATCAATGTTCTTCTGAGCGCTGAAATACAGTTTGAAAGTATATGTGAATCTAACCAATATTCAGGAAATGTGAGGAACTAATGGCCCGAGGATAATAAATGTGTTTTCACAAACCAGAAGGAAAGGGCTGTAGAGTTTCACACAAAATCACTTTCCCCTGTGCTATAACTTACCAGTTTGGAATTGGTGACTGGTTTATTTCTTACTGGTGAAAGTGCTATGAAAGCCCAAAAGAGGAGGTAACAACTCCCACCCTATCACCAAAACTCAGGCAACATTACGGAAAAGAACGTAAGGGGTGGAGGATAGGGAGGGGAGCTGTAAAATGCTGTCTTCTGGTTAGAGGTGGCTCTTACGTTTCACAGCAATTGGGGTTAGCTGATATGATCAAGCTAGCCAAACTCTGACATAGATTTGTCATATGTCATTTGACATACTAAGGCCACAGCCCGTACTGAAGAATTATTGGTAAGTGATAGTTGGGAGAAGTGGAATAATTGCTTTTAAGGATATGGTCATGGATAAGACTCCCATTTGCCAAAAGATGGCCCCATACCCATGCACAAAATGGACAGCACTGAATGGACTTACAGGGAGGGTTGTTTAAAAAACTACAACATGAAACTGGGAGGGGATTATGAGGGCAGTTTGGGAGATAGAGAGTAGATATGATCATATTTAATTGCATATGTATGTGAAATTCAAGAATAAAAAATTGTTTTTAAACTGTAAACCCCCTTAAATTAACCTTTCAGCCAGCTTAATATATGAGTTGATCAGCATCTTCATCTTCTGTGGGCCTTACAGAGCTCTCTGGAGTATATTCTAAGCAGGGACTAAGCAACACAAGCAATGAAGGAAAGGGCTGTAGAGTTTCACAAAAAAATCACTTTCCCCTGTGCTATTACTTACCAGTTTGGAATTGGTGACTGGTTTATTTCTTAAGGCTGGAGGTCTATAAGCTGTTGTAACTTTAGGTTCCTCACTAGGTACTTCACTTGGCACTGCTTGGTACTTTATTGTTTTTGCTGGAAATACTCCATCCAAAAATGGCTGCCAAGACACCTGCCATAATTCTCCATTCGACGGCACATCATACTTATGCAAGACAGAGCCAGTATAATGCCAAACCTTAAACCCGTTATTGACACGCAACCTGGGTGCACAGGTGGCAGTTAAAATATGCTCGCCATCCGGGCACCAGGCAAAATACGTAGAGTCAGAAGCCACTGGTTTAGAGATCAGTTTATAGCTTTTAACATCCCACACTTCCATTTGTCCCCGAAGATTTCCAAATCCAGCCAGGACTAATATATGTCCATGAGGGCTATAGTAGGCTGCATTGCGAGGACCAGTCCCGAAATCAAACACAGGATCACACTTCAGGTTGAAAACCGTCGCTTTCGCAGGCATAAAACCATAAACAGCACAAAACTCAGTAGAGCTAGAATTCCAAACAACATCATAAATTGGGCCATTTTTTGCTAGAAAAAAATATAAGATACAAATCAACAGTAAAAAAAACTATATGAACACTAGTGCAAGATACAAATAACATTCATAATCATGCCAAACATTTTTTCAAACTTTAAAAATATATACTATGATATACTATGAGTATTAATACATAATCATACATCCAAGAACTCCCACAGAATTTTATTATCTTCTAAACACATTGGCAATATGGGCTCATGGAAGCCAATATAAACTTACTGTAATACTTTATTACTAGAAATAAAAAACATTTTTAAAAATGAGACTTTGCTAGGATGTCCAGGCTAGTCAAATTCCTGAATTCAGATGATCATCCTAGCTCCAAAGGGCTGAGACGCAGACTACCATGTCCAGCAATAGCTGGTTGTTGTTGTTTTTTTTTTTTTTGGAATGAATACCTGCACATTACTATACAAATACAAACTATATAAAATCACATGCCATAAAAAAAGTGTCTATCAAGGCAACCCATTTCATTTCTTGAATATCCTTTTAGAATATTTTCTTGAAATAAAGCATCTTCTCTAAATACAAAAAAAAATGACAAAGTTCTAGGCTTTCATTAATACCATATTTTGGAGATTTTTCTACATGATCATGTTAAAAATCTGCCTCAGCCTCTGCCTCTGTAATTCATTATAAACTACCCTGATCATTTCTCCAGTGCAAGTGCAGACAAACATAAGAAGGCAGCTATGGACAGACAGTGGTGGGTCACACCTTTAATCCAGCACTTAGAGGGCAGAGGTAGGTGGATCTCTGAATTCAGGGCCAGCCTGGTCTACAAAACCAGTAGTAGGACAGCCTGTGACAGAGAAACACTGTCTCAGAAAACAGACAAACAAAAAGGATAGCTGTGAGGTTACTGACTTGGCAATGCCCTCACAACGTTCCACAATGCTCTGTGAAGCAGCTGCACCGGTTTCCATGCCCATCGGTAGGTTCTAGGGCACGGGTCTCCTCACGTTCACACTACAGTTTATTTCCATGCCCATCGGTAGGTTCTAGGGCACGGGTCTCCTCACGTTCACACTACAGTTTATCTCCATGCCCATCGGTAGATTCTAGGGCACGGGTCTCCTCACGTTCACACTACAGTTTATCTCCATGCCCATCGGTAGGTTCTAGGGCGCGGGTCTCCTCACGTTCACACTACAGTTTATCTCCATGCCCATCGGTAGGTTCTAGGGCGCGGTCTCCTCACGTTCACACTACAGTTTATTTTTACTGATTAAATTTATGACTTGGTTTTGTTTAATTAGTGCTATCTTTTAATAATTAAAAGAAATTTCATTTGTTTTCTGGTAGATTAATTTTCCTATAATTCCCATTTCTCTTCCCAGTTATTGAGTAGGCATAGGCAACTTTTGAAATTAAGTTTACCCTTTCTTTCTTTTTTTGTTTTGTTTTTTTTTTTGGTTCTTCGAGACAGGGTTTCTCTGTGGTTTTGGAGCCTGTCCTGGAACTAGCTCTTGTAGACCAGGCTGGTCTCGAACTCACAGAGATCCGCCTGCCTCTGCCTCCCAAGTGCTGGGATTAAAGGCGTGCGCCACCACAAGTTTACCCTTTCTTATACTCATATATCCCTTGTCTGCTTGTTGTTATTTTTGGATATTTTTTCTGGGTTCTCTTATAATTCAAGTCAGACTGGAACTCAATATGTAAATGAAAATGACTTTGAATCTCTGACCCTCCTCCATCTGCTAAATATTGGGATTAAACGTATTTATTACTACACTTAACCTTGTCAGCTTAAAAAAACAATCTTTTTGCTCACCTAAGTTAGATTCTTCTAACAGAAACCTAAAAGATTTTACATATTACAAATTTATTGTATTTTCCTTAGGATTTTTGTCTTGCTTAGAAAATCTTTTTTTTATTCCAAGATTTTTTATAATTCCAAGTTTTCTCACACTTTTATAATAATGTTATATTTAATGTTTATATTATGTTTATGTTTATGTTTATTTTATAAAATAAGTGCTAATTTTATAACACACTAATGTCTACAAATATACAGATCTATTTCTATATATTTTATTTTATACATACATTAATTTTTCATAAGCCAGATCTAAATGCTCTTAAACTGTTTTACATTTTAATATCTTGTAGTATCAAAATTTCCCATGGCTTCTTAATGGTTTCCAAAATAGTCTTGTGTTAATCTTTTATTACCAAATTTCAGACCAGTTTATCTAGATTTTTTTTTAAAAAAAAAATCTGATTGGCATTAAAATGTTAAATTTTAGATTAACTAAGAGAGGAATGCCATCATTTATAAAAGTTTACTGATTAATGTTTAGAGTTTATCTGAAGAGTTTATCCCATAGGCTCTTATAGTGTGTTTCTTGGTGTGTCTTACTGTATTTAAAAGGCTGTTATTTAGCTGTGATTTCATTTATACAAAGACAAATCCAGTGTCGTCCTTCTTTAGATCTGTTGTAGTTACTCGATACGTCAGGTCTCTGTTTAACTTCTTGTTTCAGTGGGTACAGGACATTTTGGAGAGAAACTATGGACTATTTCTCTACTTACACATGTTCAATTCAAAGGGAAAAAATTAGGAAGCTGCTAGAATTGAAAAACTATTATTCTGGGCTGGAGAGTTGACTCAGCAGCCAAGTGCCACTTGTTCTCTTGCAGAAAACCAGAGGTTCAACTCCCAGCAACCAATGGCAGCTCACGACCAATGTAATTCCAGTTCCAGTGCACTCTTCTGACCTTCTTGGGCCACAGGTATGTGTGCACACAGCATATAGTCATACATGTAAGCAAAGCACTCAGACACATAAAGTAATAAAATAAGAAGTCTAAGTAAAATAACTATTATTCTATAGTTAATTTAGCATATTCAGGTAACATTGTTAGAACTTATTCTCATTTCTGCAGCAATTATTAAACTTACTATATCTGCTTGCTGCATTAGTTAAGTGCTCAGAAAGCAGCTATAGAAAACCACATCACCCAGAGATTCTACTCCTACTCAAGAGCTGATATAAGGCTAACAAACTAACTGGAGTCTGCCAAAGTCAGGCTTGCTTGAGGATGACTTTAAGTCTGTCAATGAAGAGGAATTTTATCAGAAATGTTATCATGGTATTTGGGTTTATCACTTGATTAAGAATTTAGACTGTTCCAGGCATGGTGGCACACGCCTTCAAACCCAGCACTCAGGAGGCAGAGGCAGGCGGATCTCTGCAAATTCGAAGTTATTCTGGTCTACAAAGCAAGTTAAAGAACAGCCAGGCTATTATATAGAGAAACCCTGTCTCAAAAAACAAAAACCAAACAATTTAGGTTGTATTACCTTTATGGCATTGTGTGTGTGTGTGTGTTTTCTTTTACTGCTATTGATCTTAACCACAAGGAAACTGTTAAGGCGTACTCACGTAATTGTACTACAGCACTCTCTCCATTTGTGGCAATGTAGTGCAGAGTTTGTTCTCCATAGTAGGAAGCTCCTGTCTTGTCAACCTCTGTACTAGCGATTACCAGCACAGCAGTAGCTATAACAGTGAAGCAGTATCCAATTAGATTCAAAATACAAGTTAAAAATCACCTATACATTTCTTTCTTTATATGTGTGTGTGCACGTGTGTATGTGTGTGTTTGTGAGAATGTCAAAATTAATATCTGATAACAAAATTTAAAAATTATTCATCATACCTTTCTTATTCCAAAGCATCGTAACCTTATCAGCTTTAAAGAAGCTTTTATTGGCCAGGGCTGCATGAGGTCCAGCAAAGTTGGGGTACTGATATAATCTAACAAATGAAGGTGCACCTTTACTTCCTGGGACATAGACTGCCACCTAAGACACACATGCACAAATGTGTATTTTAGAAGCATAAAATCTGAGATGGATGTTTTTAGAATTACTTTTAAAAAAGAGCAAAGAGTTAAGTTCTATATAAGTAAATAAAAACAGGAATTACCTTATAAGGTTGGCTTCCAGGTGATAAATTAAAGTCATTAACTTTTTGCAAATGTAATTTATTTGCAATTGTGTCTAAAATGAGAGGAAATGGATTACAGATTGATAATAAGTTAACAAAAATACATCAAACTCAGAATTCTTTATAAAGGCTATTATAACTACAAATTGTTCATTGCAGTTTCACGCAGATGAGGCAGAGCAAACCGACAGAAAAGGCATGGGTGGGAGCCAGGAAGAACTAGGCTTCAATTCCAATAACCAACCCATTTACTAGGTGTGTAAACTTGGGCAAGTAATAAGATGATGCTAACTATACCCCACTAACTTCTCAGGGACTGATGACAATGACAAGCACATGGCATATGCCCCAATAAATGCCAATCTTTATAGTAAAAAAATTCATAGAGTCCATTAGATGGGAAAGACGGCCTCAGCTTGCTAGGGTAAAATGTGTATACAGAAATTCTATTTGATAAATACGATAGCTGATACTGACTACAGTATCCTAAGCAATGAGAATCCATGTTAATAAGCAATAGTGTTACCTTAGCTAACGGGATAAGCACAACAATAATATTTAGGATGGCCCTAACCCTATACTGCCACCAAGGAAAGGAAAACTGTGTATTTAGAATATGGCTAGTGATGTGAAACCCTGGGCACAGATTCTTAGCACTGAAAACAAACAAACAAAAAACTTTGAAAAATGCATTTAAAGCAAATAATAAAGTTATTTAGTAAGTCTTTTCATACTAAAATTGTTGTTTTCAAAGAAGTGAATTTCATTGTTAACATTCCGTGCACAGATAACTTCATCATCTGACCAGGAAGGACACCTATATCAAAAGAAAGAGAATTGGAAAGAGTAAAACCTTGTTAAAGCCATGATGCTGTTTAAGATAAAATACTTACATCACACCTGCTACCAACAGTACTAATAGTATAATTAAATGGTGTATCATTAAAATATATTGTTTCTTTTTAAAAACTAAAAGGGATATTTTGCTATAATATAGACCTATAGACTTAAAAACCCTTAAACAACAGGATTTTAGAATAATTTATTTTCAAAGTCAATACTAAAAAAAACAAATATATACGATATTAGCAATATCGTGAAAATGTCACTTTCTGGACTGGAGAGATAACAGGCCAGAGAGCAATATTTAAAATATACAATATTTTGTCTACATGTATGCCTGCAGGCTAGAAGAGGGCACCAGACCTCATTACAGATGGTTGTGAGCCACCATGTGGTTGCTGGGAATTGAACTCAGGACCTTTGGAAGAGCAAGCAATGCTCTTAACCACTGAGCCATCTCTCCAGCCCCCAGAGAGCAATATTTAAAACCACTTGTTCTTGCAGACAACCTGGGCTCATTTCCTAGCACCCATATTGTAGCTCACAATCATCTATAACACTAGTTCCGGAAGATCTGATGACTTCTGACCTCCAAGGTCACTAGGCTTACGTAAGGTAAACATATATACATGCAGGCAAAACAGTCTTAAAATAAATCTAAATATTTTAAATAGCACTTTAAAACATTTATTTACCAGTTTTGCATTTTTTTCTGTATGAAAGATTTCAAACATGTTCCAGTTTTCACGTCATAAAGCTGTAGGTTGGGTACCCCAGCTGTGCCATCTTTAGAAGCTGCAATAAAAATTTTATAGTGATTGTCTTCTAACAGTTGTTAAGATTTCATGCTCACAAAAACCTTGAATAGTATTAAGAATATTAAATAAAAGAATTGCCTACAATCAACTTTTCCTCGTCTTTAATCATTCATTGCTAAAACCATGACAACATGACAGTTGTTTGAGTTAAAGCCCATCTCTGAAATGAATGCTTATAAGTTTTAAGAATACTTGACGGATTTATTTATTAATTCTGACATTATTGTCAAAGGGATTAAGTCATAAAGGTTTGTACTAATAATTTATGATTTTCAAAGTCCCTTCAATTTACTTGGAAAAACAAGATTCATTAGAGTTCAAGCCTCTGGAAAGAATAAAACCCTAAGGTTTATAACCAACAATGAACTATTATCATTCATTCATTCATTCATTCATTTATTGCCATTGTTAGAGAATGTTTTACCCCGTTCTTCCTTCTTTTTTTATATTAGACAGTCATATATATCCTAGACCGACCTCACATTCCTGCTAAGAGTGACGTTGAACTTCTGATCTCTAAGTACTAGAATTACAAGCATGTGATACTTCAACCAGTTTACGTAGCGTGGGGATCAAACAGAGGCCTTATGAATGCTGGCAAGCACTCCACCAACTGAGCTGCATCCCAGCCCTAATAAAAAGTTCTTAACACAGCCTTTATACCACTTTTTTCTCTCTGTATGGATAGAGCATGGCTATATGAAAGTTCCTATGTCATTACCATTATATGGCTTTAAATGTGTCAAACAGGACAGTTTCCTATCCTTTCTGTTCTTGGAGACAAGGTCTCAATTTAGTTTGACTCTTCACCTCACAGTCCTCCAGCTTCAGCCTCCCATCAGGACAGGACTCACAGGCAGGTACGCTCCACACTGTCATAACACACGCTTGTTTCATGTTCTATCCACTGTACTGTCTTTTGCTTATAGTGATTAATAAAAATGTTGACTAAGAGCCGAGCGGTGGTGGCACACGCCTTTAATCCCAGCACTCGGGAGGCAGAGACAGGCGGATCTCTGTGAGTTCGAGACCAGCCTGGTCTACAGAGCTAGTTCCAGGACAGGCTCCAAAGCCACAGAGAAACTCTGTCTCGAAAAACAAAACAAAACAAACAAACAAAAAAAATGTTGACTAAATCATTATTATTCCAGATTTTTACGGATCTTTTCTAGCCAACAGTTATTTCCCTTCTAAATTTTCCTTTGCAGTTTTCTTCTCCTTTATCTCATAACTTACATTTTCACTTTACTTCCTGACTTATGCTATTTGCAATGAAATATGGTCCAAAAATATTAAAAGTAAAATCCTAGAAATAACTCATTCATTTGAAATTGCCTACCATCTTAAGTGATGAAACTTGAGCCATTTCATTCTGTCTAACTGGAACACAAGTATTTCTTTTTAATAAATCATCCTTTGAAAAAAATTATTTGTTTGCTTGCTTCTTTATTTATTATTTATTTAGAGGCAAAGTCTCACTATGTATCTCTGGCTTTCCTAAAACTCACTTTGTAGAGCAGGCTGGCCTTTAACTCATAGAATCCACCTGCCTCATTAATCACCTGTGGGTCCAGGATATCCATACTACACCCATATGCTTCTCCCCACCCAACAGTCTTCCGGGTGATTATATTTACTGGCAGAGGACACAGTGCTTTCACCAAGTAACCCTTATTTTACTTAATGAGAGGAACACAAAAGTAGTGATGCTAGCAATTTGCATAAGAGAAGCTACAGAGAGCTTCCTCAAAGTAAAAAGGTTAAAGTTCTTATTTAATATAAGATAATGCTACATCATTGCAGACGTTAAGGTTGGCAATGGTAATGAATCGTCTATCCATGAAATTATGAACAAAATGTTCGTGTTACTTTTTCTGAGAAACCCTAACAGTTAAAAGTTACAGTCACAGTACTGTGAGTACTTGGTTAAGATGAAAAAGGCTGGGGCTGTGGGTGTAACTCAGATGGGAGGGTGCTTGTCTAGCATGCATGAAGCCCTGGGTCTGGTCTCAATCACCACACGAATGGAGCAAGGTGCTATATACCTGAAATCTCAGCATCCAGCAGCAGTGCAGACAGTAGACCAGAAGTTCAAGATCATCCATGTGTGAGGACAGCCAGGGCTACTTGGAGCCTGCTTAAAGGGTGTGGCTTACTTGCAATCTTAGTCATCAGGGCAGGCGATGGGGGGTTAGGGGTGGGCTGTCTGCTTGACCTTAAATTACCATCTTACAAGGTTATAAATTTAGCTTTTCCCCCACCAAATGTACTTAGTCCTGTTAGAATACTTTTCAAGGGGAAAATACTTACTCGTGTAAGGCTGCCACGTTGCCAGGACAGTGTTATTTGGCGAGAATTCAAGGCAAACTGCTTTTGGGAGGTCGAAGGAGTGCAGTAGTCCCTTGTTAGTGACATTGATTATATTTACTCTGGTTTCAAAAGAAATTACTTCAGCAAAAATACCATTTTGAAACAGCACTAAAACATTCATGCCCCTTTTCAAATGCAGAACACTCCAAGTTGTTCACTTTTCATAAAAACTACTTTTCAGGCAATTTCAAAAACCACCAAGGAAACACAATGTAAATTTTATCCAAAAAGTATTGATAAATAGTACAGAATTAGCAGAAAGACCCAGAAGTGATATGGCTTCCAACTGAGCAAGTCAAAGGGAAGGCAGGCATGAGGCAGAATGGTGAAGCACCCTGTTTACATTATAATAGAATCCGTAATAGTAAGCTAGTCTGTTAAGATTTCAAAAGCTGTCTAACGGATAGGCCTATTAAGAATTGCTGTGTAACCATATAATAAAAGTAGTTCTATATTGCTTCATATTGGATGCTTCCTGCATAATCGCAGGCAGTGGCCTTACCACTTTCTGCAAACCTTTTATTTGAATCCTTCCAAGTGTCAGCATCTCAATTTTATAAAAAAAACATTTAGAATTGAAAAAGAAATCAAATGAGTTGATCTGATCAGCTATAATTTATCATATTACTGATAAATATTAGTGCCAAGTTTTGGAAATCAGCTTGTCCGGACATACTTCCCTATGTTACATTGAAGTGTCAGGTTGGGGCTGCAGAGATGCTTCTTATGCCTTCTATGGACATCACACACATGGTGCAGAAACACACATACAGGCCAAACACCCATATAACCCACATACATGTAAATAAACAAACAAATAAATAAATTTTAAAAAACAAAAATTGAACTAAACATAGTGGCACATGCCTTTAATCCCAGCACTCAGAAGGCAAAGGCAAGCAGATTTCTGTGAGTTCGTGGCCAGGCTGATCTACAGAATTCCAGAACAGCCAGGACTATACAGAGACACTGCCTCAAAAAAAAAAAAAAAAAAAAAAAAAAAAAAAAAAACAGGCTGAGATTGGAGATTGTCCAACCCTTAGAGAAGGCACCATAATGATGTTGCATCTATAAATGTGCTGGAGTGCATTAAAGGATATTCAGGAAGGTATCTGGCCTGTGGACCACAGGTTTAGGTACACCCATGATTAATCTTTTTAGGGTTAATACATGCATATATATGTAATATCCCATCTTATTTAAGAAATTGCTGAAATAAATTTTATTGTGGTCATGTCTGAGGAGGATACCAAGGTCAGGATAAGCAGATCCAGTAAGAATGAGGCTATATTGCACACTAAAACACAAATGAACAGGTGTACCACCACACCCAATGGTCCTCTGCAAATTATAAACTATAAAAACACACTTTAAAATCGGTTTTCTTGTTTTTGTTGTTGGTGATATTCCTAGTTTAATAAAACTTTTAAAAATCCTGTTTAAGGAAAGACCCGTTAGTTTCTGAATTGGGTAACTACAAATTGACCAAAACCACAATCAATACCCATATCTGATTGCCTTGTCCGGGAACAACACACACTATTTTATGATAACATCATTCTAAGAAAATAAAGACTAGCATCTGATATAGAAAATACCTATTAAAATGATGACACAATTTAAAATAGCATATAAGGATATACTAAAAAAAAAGCTGGGCCAATGTGGTGCACAACTTTAGTCCCAGTACTCAAGAGGCAGAGGCATGTGGATCTCTGTGAGTTCCAGGCCAGCCTGATTTACACAGTGATATGAGGCTAGCCAGGGCTATCCAGAGACCCTGTATCAAAAACAAAACAAAAAGCCTTAACATTGTGGCTAAGATTCAATGTGATTAAATTATTGATTTGCAATTTTACTGGTTAGCCAATAGCCTAAAAAGCAAATCAACTAATTTAGCAGTCTTTAATAGTTAATTTTTAAAAAATCATGTTTATCTGACTTTCAGAAAATTTTAGAATATATTAACACTATAAAGAACTTTTAAACTCATTATTTTCAAACTAATGCATTATTTTTCTCTCTTTTGAAAAGCCTAACAGTATACATATGTTTGATAGCAACAAAAGAAAAACAAGTAAGAGATATCTGGACATTTTCTTGATCTATAAAATACTGCAGTGACCATAGGAAATTAAAAAAGACTGATTTTAAAAACTATGACCATTTAATGAATATAATTGTTTTCCTTTTTTTGTTATCTAATAGTTTACATAATATGAGCTATATTAATCATTCTTTCTATACTTTTATACACAATAAAACTAAAAGTACTTAATTACTGATTTAACAGCAAAAATACTAGATATTTAAGTATACAGTAAACAAGCAAAAAAATAATTATTTTCTAAATGAAAATAGTGAATCTAAGAAACCCTAACCAATGATTTAGAATACTATTTAAAATAATTTATTTCCTCCATATTTTTTTCATAGTAATTTTAAGTTGTGAGTCACTTCATAACTCAGGTCATGGCTTATGTATAAGAACATCTCTAAGGGTCACTACACATGACAATAAAAGATAGACTTTACCAATGATAACCGAGTACATGTATTTCAAACCATGCCAGTTATGTAATATTCATGGTGCACATAAAACTTCCATAAATGAGCACTAACTTTTCTCCATTGTTCCAGGCAAACAATGTCCCATCCTTACTAAAAGTGTAGACTTTGCAATTTTTTCCAGATTCCCTGAAAAAAGAAAAGGTTTAAATTTAAAAGCACTAGTAATATTTTTCAAAAAATCTGATTTAGAAGTCTACAATCCATTAATTCAATGATTTAATAACTTAAACAAATTTTATGAACATTCCAAAATGTTTTTGTCTATTTAAATCCTTAATCTCTTGTAATGCAAATGTCAGCAAAGATTGTAAAATATGCTGGAAACTTCTTGCAAACAGATAAACCTTCAGAAATAGATCATTTTTTGGTGCGGTGGTTGGAATGAGAATGGCCGCAGAGGCTCATGGATTTGAACATTTAATCATCAGGGAGTGGCACTACTTGAGAAGGATTGGGAGGTGTGGACTCCTTGGAGGAAGTATGGGGGGGGGAGGGGAGAGTGGGCTTTGAGGTTTCCAATGTTCAAATCAGAACCAGTGGCACGTTCCTCCTGTTGACTGTAGGTCCAAATGTAGAACTAACTCTCGGCTACTCTCCAGCACCATGTCTGTCTACATACCAACATGTCTCCCACCATGATAACAATGGACTAAGGCTCTGAAAATGTAAGCAAGCCCCAATTAAATGCTTTCTTAGGTTGCCATGGCATGGTGTCTTTTCACCGCAAAAGAATACCAACTAAGACAGTGGTCAAAGAAACCAAAACAATGAAACTTAATGTGAAAGTTATCAGCTGTCCCCTCTGAGCAAGCTGAGGGACTGCAGTGCAGAGGCTTGGTAGAGACCAGCCCCACACTATATGCATAAAAAACAGTAGTGGACAGTATACCCTCAAGGACCAAAGGGCCCTAGGATTTGAAAGACTAAGCTATTCCATCAATTTCCCCAGTGGAGACATAATGTATAAAAGCAATACAAAGATCTTAGTAAATGGCGTGCAGGCTTCTGAATATCATCTGTAGAAATATGACTGGTGTCAACATTCCAGCAAGAAATTAAAACTGTAAGTAGTACAACTCTCTACTGGAGATGGCCACTGTGAATATATCTAATAGCAATGAACGCCTAGCCAAATGTAAATGTGTATGAGTATACATGTACTAGCTTATCTATTATTTTCCTTTTTGGTCAATGAGCTGAGAGACGGTTCCATAATCAAGAGCATTCACGGCTCCTCCAGAAGACCCAGCTTCAGTTTCCAGCTCACAACTACCTGTAACTCCAGGGAATACAACACCCTCCTCTGATTCCATGGCACCACACACACAAGTGTTGCATAGACACACACATAGGGAAAATAACCATACACATAAAAACTTTCTAACATTTTAAGAAATATCAGTATCAACAAAAATCTTTCAGAGTGCATTGTATGTTTCTTATTTATCATTTGACAGAGCTGTACCTTGGAAGCACTGTGCTTTCTGTAAAGTGTGGTGGTCCATTCACCATGTACAGTCCTTCTGATCCTCGGACTAAAGAAACAGGGAAAGAAGCTTGGTTACGATGCTAAGAAAGACCCAGAGATATTACTGAACGTTACTGAAAAGCAAAGGGCTTTCAAAATACAGTAAAATCATGAAACATTTCCTCCTACTACAGAATGCTAACATTTCAAGTCCACTTTCCTGCCTTCCACATAGAAATAATGTAGTTGAATAGAAATAAATACGCAACTGGAAAACTTCAAACAATGTAACCATCCAAACAAAAGGCTGTGTCATAGTAGAAAGGGCACAAACTTAGCTGGATACAGTTAAACAAAGAGAACAGTAACAAATTCAAACAATCCAGGGAAAAGCTAGGAATGGGCATCAAAAAACAGAAAGGAGCTAGAAAGAAAAAAAAAGGAGCTAAAAAAAGCTGGAAAAAGAAAACAGGCCTCAGACCTAGAAGAAAATGGATGTTGAAGTTAAGTATCTTAAAATAACGTATTTTAAAAATAAAATCTCAAGACTTTCAGGCTGATTTCTAAAACCAGATTTGCATTTTGAAAAGACCAGTCTGGTACAATGTAGATGAACAGGCTGGAGAAAGTCTGTAGTAGTGTCACAGGAGGGTGTGGAAGTTTGATTCAGGGTGGAACAGCAGGAATGAAAAGCAGGAATGAGGATGGACTGTAGGAATGTAACAGGCTTAGTGGTGGGCTGCGACCTCAACAGCACTGTAAGTGCCCAAGGGACGAAGGTTTAACTCCTGTCCATGGCTTCCATTTCTCCAACTCAGACTCCTCCACCCTTCTCTTAGTTGCTAGGAAAGCAATGAAGCTAATAGATGGGGTGGGGCTTAGCTCCAATCTTAACTTTTCATTCCTTTCTTTTCCCAAGAAGTGTTAAGAGACAGTTATTAGAAAAATACTTTGCCTAAGAATTAGTTAGCTCAATTTTAGGTATCAGGCAGTCTCAAACTCAGAGAGATCCATCCACCTGCCTCTGCCTCCCCAGTGCTGGATTAAAGGTGTGCACCACCACTGCCCAGCTGAACCTTTTCTTTTTTTTTTTTCTTTTGAGACAAGGCCTCATGAAGTAGCCCCAGCTGGCCTAGTTAGAATTCTCTATGTAGACCAGGTTGGTCTGGAACTCACAGAGATCAGCCTCCAATGAGGTACCATGCCCAGAGGAAGTAATACATTATAAACCCATTATCACTATTATTATTTACTTTGTGTGTTGATCAATCTTACATACATTCAGATAAATGTATCTACCACTATAGCCCTGAAGTTTTATTCTTTACAGCATTGAAATCCTGCTACTAAACAGGGAAGGCAGCAGCATTTCTCAGCACCAAACCTGCTGCAATGTATATAAGATACATTGGGATTTAGAATAGGCTATATTTTCTTTCTTTTTTTTTTTTTTTTTTTTTTTTTCGAGACAGGGTTTCTCTGTGGCTTTGGAGCCTGTCCTGGAACTAGCTCTTGTAGACCAGGCTGGTCTCGAAGTCACAGAGATCCGCCTGCCTCTGCCTCCCGAGTGCTGGGATTAAAGGCGTGCGCCACCACCGCCCGGCTAGGCTATATTTTCTTAATACTATAATCAATTTTTTAAGAGTCAGTATCTCATTATGTAGCCGTGGCTGGCCTGAAACTTTAAGTAGACCAGACAGGCATTGAATTCACAGAAATCTGACTAGCTCTGTCCCCTAGAGCTGGGATTAAAGGCATGTGCTACCACATCCAGCATAATTCACATGGTAACATTATAGGGACCAAACAAAAAAATTTCAAACAAGGGCATTTACTAAGGCCATACCTTAGTTGTACACGATGTAGAAATTTAGACAGTGTAAGGTCACTCTCACTAAGGTGTAGTAGAATCTAATACACTGGGAGCTTTTCCAGAATTTACATACAGATCTAGACTAGAATGGCAAACTGTCAGGACAGTCCCAAGAAGGCTGCAATGGAACTATGAAATGTGAATGTGGTCCAAGTGTCCTGTCACTCTCACTGCTTAGCCCATGCGCACGGATGACAAAGAACAGAAAGCTTTTCCTTATCTCACCTTAGCTACCCGTGCTCTGGAGCAGGACCTCTTTCCCCAGCTCTAGTGGCACTGTCGTTGGTAGCATTGATCCCCTATACTCTTCATTCCTGGTAACAGTCGAAGGACTCAGGATATTTAGACAACCATAAGGGCTTTTCTAAAGTTTGTATTTAAGATTTATACTTCATACCAGGGCAGATGGTTAACCCCAAAATAGTAGTAGTAAGGAAGAGAAAACAAAAAGAAGGAAAGCAAAATCCATGTCAACCATACTCACACAGAACTGAAGTCTTAGAAAACGACATGTAACATTTTAAAAGCCAGTGTGAAAACTGCCATGTTTTTGCGGCTCAAGAAGCATTTATGTCTCACGTGATCTATTCTCGGTATCTGCCTTTTTAAAGGATAAGCGAAATCTCGAGCCAAACTAAACAACTGCTTTTCAACATGCTCATGTTCTTACTTCTTGATTTGATTTCTATTTTACTGATATATTTACTTTTGAGACAGAGTTTCACATTGTACTTCAGGCTGTCCTGGAACTCACAGTAATCCTGATCAAGCCTCCTTTGTGCAAGGATTAAAGTAAAGTTTGAGCTCCCACATCCAGCTGTTCATGTTTACATTCTAAAAAAAGGAAACTTTAAAAACAAAATACCCAAAGCTACCTTTTTTATTATTTCATTTATGCAATACTTTTGAGATGACAAAATGGTAGTTTCAAGGATTAGAACCTTCAGAATTGTATTGTAAAAGGGAAATACAAGCATCTCTTGTGCTATATTCTAATAGTGGTTTCATGAATGTGTATATTAAATGAAAATGAGGACATAACTTCTCCAAGGTATGGATGAGGAGTTTTTATTGTAGATATGAGGGAGAGTACAGCCAGAGGCACCTGAAGTGTCCAAACTGAACCAGGTCATGAGAAAGAGGAAGAGAGACGCAGCCAAGAGAGCATGAACAGAACGGCAGATTTTTTATAGGACTCGGGAGCTGTGGGGAGGGGAGGGAAGTGAAGCACCTGGGTTAGAGGTTTAGGGCAAGGAGTATGAGGGGAAGAGCTGAGAGCACACAGGGCTCTGCAACAGGTGCTTGCTATGCTGTGAGAGCCCAGAGGCCAGTACATGCTTTAATGTGCAATAGGCACCAAGGCTAGCCATTTGTCCCGAGTTTCTTTGACATACATGAACTAGAATCTCTTAGTCACACACACACACACACACACACACACACACACACACACAAATAAACCAAAAAAAACCTAAGTAAGGACTGCAGTTTGGTGGATACTCCTGTGTGACTACTATGTACTAGTTTTGACAATATTCAATCTTTATGTTATATGATCAGTGGGAAGGCTAAGTACTTTTTGACTTACTGTTCTGCAACTTCCATGAGTCTTAAATGATAGCCAAATAAAAAGATTTTTTTTAAAAATTATTTTTAGTAATACTTTAATGACAGGATAGCAGAAATTAAGCAAATGGACTTCAACTTTTACCAAAAATAGTTTTACTTTTAGACAAAAATCTGTACTCAAAGCTTTTTAAAAACTGCAATACATTTCTCTATATATAGCGTTCTGATAAAGCATTCAGTATAATTACAAATGTTTGAAAGTGACAAAGTAAACAGAACGCAAAGTTTGCTAAACGTGTGTATGCACACTCAGTGTGAAGCCGTTTTTGACGACCAGGAGCTGGTATAATAGATGTCAGTTTTACACTCTTTAGAAAACACTAACTTCCTTTAGGAATATTCAAAGGTGAGGCAACATTGGTCCGGATCTCCTGACTAACAGTTGGTTGATAAAAGGGTAAGAGCGAAGGCACGGACAGCCAGCCTTGAGAATTCTGTCGGGAATGCTGGCCAAACAACCGAACGCTCTGTCCTTTAGCGTTACTAAACGGGCTGAATACCTGCCCACCATGAATTCTCCTCCTTTAATGAAAGAAAAGCAAGAACCAGGGAACACAGAAAACAGATTTTTGAAGTCTTATAAATACTTGAATTCACTGACACTAGAAGAAGTGTTTAAAAGCTCACTTTTCACATGGTTTTTCACAGGGTCTTTGCTCATATCTGACTCAGAATCACAACAATAAAATTCACGGTTAAGCTCCAAATTATTCACAGATCTAAAAGTTTAAGTATGTTAAACAATATTTGGAAATTTAAAAACTAAAAACTAAGAATGTTGAAAAGAATAAGCAGCGTGCTGGTAGAAAATAGGATGGAAATATCTGAGTATTATCCTGAAGCTGCAATTTCATAGTGTATATCTGGCCGAGTAATCTTTGGGCATCTAAGAATTCTGAGACCATGAGAAAGTGTCAGAGCAAAGACTTTAACTCTGAGCACTGTAAGAAAAATTGTCATTCTTTGTTACCTGATTGTACACAAACAATCTATTCTCCATTCATTTATTTTCCCTTTGTTTAATGTCTATTATGTCCTGGGTTCTGGACTAGGTACTGAAAAGGTGTGGATGAATAAGGCTCTACCCCTAACGCCAAGAAGTTTACAGACTAACAGGGAAAGAAAATATCTGAACGGAGAACTTCCTTTGTGAAGCTAAAAAACAAAAATTCTTCCCCTAGCATATAGGAGGTATAAAAATAGCTCAGAAAGTGGCTGGGAAACATGGGAAATTGTTTGGAAGAAGCTTGCCAAATCAACAGAAATAGGATAATCCCAAAGAATAGTTTAAGGGACTTTATCAAACAACTCAGTACTTGTGGGATACAAAATAAGAAGGGATGGAAAAGCAATAACGTAAAGAGCTAGTTCAAGATTATAAGTGGTCCATGATGGGCTAAACAGGAATGACTTCACACTGCCTCGACAGAGCAGAACACTTCATAGATTTTTAATGTACTAATTTTTAAATAGAATTCAAATACTCATTTAATATTAAAACCTCTAATTAACAAAGTCATCTTTATGAAGCTAGAAAAACTACTTATTTAATTACATAATTATTCTATTTAAACAGTCTCAGAGGGCTGGAGAGATGGCTTAAACATTGAGAGTACTTGCTGCTTGTCCACAAGACCCCAGTTCAGTACTCAACACTCACTTAAGGTGGGACTCACAACTGTAACTCCAGCTCCAGGGAAGCCCAACACCCTCTTCTGGGCTTCTTAAGGATGCTCACACAGACACATACATTAAACAATAAATCTAAACAAAACAAAATCATCTCAGCCTGGCATAGCGTTTAGCAGATTATAGCCTTCATTTTATAAATACTTGATGGATAAATTATCGTAGTCTAAATGAATAGGAGTAGGCACAGACTTTAAAATGTACTCCTAGAATGGCAAGAAGTATAAAAGCTTCGCCATGCCTCAGAAGGACATAACTCCCAATTTCCAAAAGCAGACGTTCTTCCTAACGATCTCGTCCTTCCCTGATGTTGTCGAAGAATTGTGTCAGCTTCAAACTCCCAAGTCTTCTACTGCTCTACCTCTAAAACGCTCACAACTGCTTCAACCGAAAGCCTTAAACTAGCACGCTCCTGCTCACTGCCGCCACCCTAAGCCACATCGTCACCATGAAAGCTAACCTGCACGAGCATTCTCTCGCTCCCTGTTCAGTCCTTGCAAACCTCATAAAAATAGGGAGTGCATAAATTTTAATTAAGCTCCGGTGAATTTGATGTGTGCAGTCGCGTTTCTTCTGTTATATAGAGGCAGGGGGTTTAAGAAAGGTCCGAGCAACACTAGCACTGCAGACCAGAGGTCACACGACCAGCACTTTCTTGTTGTCTGTCTATTCCGTGGACGATAAAGAATGATGGACGGATACCCGAGAGGAGGGAACACCAGAGACGGAAGCTTCGCTTCCCATCGCCACGCTATCGTGGAATAAACCACAAGCCAGCCTGGCTCTTCCGCGAGCCACGAGAAAAGACGAGTCGGACTCCGAGGCTGGCCAGGTAATCTTCCAGCGCAAAGACACGGGGAGCAACCACTCCGAAGACAGGGTCTCCCGCTCTTTTGGAACTCACCTGTCAACAGCGGTGTGGACGGCGCCATCTTATCCCGGAAAGAGAAACCCATGCGCCGGGGTGAGAGTTCACCGAAGGCCGAACCCGGCCTCTACACGTCTCCCCAAGCTCCGAGACCGCGAGCCGGGGTTTCCGGCGCCGCCAGCGTCGGGGCCAAGCCACTTCCGGCCTCGGAGCGCGCACGCGCAGCTCGGGAGGGGGGGGCGCGCTTTCCGGAGCGTGGAAGGGCTGGCCTGACGCCGCGGCCGGCCCTCGCCCTCCCTCTCCGGAGCGGGCGGAGTCGGCACTTCCGCGGGGCGGGGTCTGCCCAGTGCTGACGTTGGCAGCCGAACCCGGCCGGAGTAGTTCGAGGCTGCCGGCTGCGCTCTCCGGTTGTTGGACTCTTGCTTCTCGTCCCTGCGCCCCGCTCGCCCCCGGCGCGCCCCCCCCACACACACACTCACCCATCCTCGGCTCCTCGGACCGCTGTGGTTGGCGGCTGCCCGGCGCTCCGGTGCTCCCAACGCTCGGGCATCCCAGGCCCGGTGACCGTAGGTGGCGTAAAGCGCCGCGAACCGAGCCTCCCGGCGGCCCGGGAGCGGCGAACGAGCGAGTCCGAGGGATTCCTGGGCAGGTGGCGCCGCGAAGATGGTCGCCAAGCAGAGGATCCGGATGGCCAACGAGAAGCACAGCAAGAATATCACTCAGCGCGGCAACGTCGCCAAGACCTCGGTAAGGAAGAACGGGCACCCCTCGCCATGCCGACGCCGGGACCGAGGCCCGAGGCCCGCGCCGGGGCCGCGGCGAGTTCTCTTTCAGACCCGCCTGACTCTGGACTCCAGCTGCGGTGGAATCTGGGGCGGGAGGAGAGATCTGTGAGGTGCCGGTCGGCCACCTGGCCCTGGGGGTGCAGGCCGCGGGAACCCGGGATCCCAGTGGTTTCTCTGCATTTGAAACTGGATTTTCCTTTTTGCAGAGAAATGCCCCCGAAGAGAAAGCGTCGGTAGGACCCTGGTTATTGGCCCTCTTCATTTTTGTTGTTTGTGGCTCTGGTAAGTGTTTGGGGGGGGGGGGCTCTCTTGGTTTGGAATGACGTGGTGAACGATCAGTGGGTGAGTCCTGCACGCGTTGTTCTCTACCCACCTGCTGAGAGTTTCACGCAATTGTTTCTTGTGAACCAAGTTACTTGTACCACAAACGGTGGTGCCCCTAGAAATTTCTCCCACCTTGATTTGTGCTCAGGAAAAATTTTAAAAAGACAGAGAGAAGAGATCTTCCTAATGATCCGTTGAAAGAAATTACAGACCAAACAATTCTTGGAGTAAGAATGATTTGTAACACCTTTATCAACGGTATTGCAAAAATCTTAACATCGCTAACATCTGGATACTAGATTGAACTGTGCCAGCTTCTGAGGTCTCTATGTCAAAAACTAACTAAATAAAGTAAGGTAGTCCAAAGAATTGATTGTCCGTGGAGGAAACATACCTCTTAGGCAATTTAATGTGGAAGACCAATGTTTTGAGGTTTATGAAAGGTATGTTGAGAAAACTTAGCTACCAAGGCAGCCTGCTTTTAGGGTGGGAGACCCTTGCCTCTTCAGATGCGCTGCAAAATGTCTTTCTGCCCCGCGTTGCTTTAATACGGAAGCTGTTAGTATTGAGACAGATGCTTTTGTTTTCCCACATTCTACAGTTACTGGGGTTTCCATTTCACTTTGCCGTTTTCCTAAACTTAACAACTGGAAGCTTTCTTGATAGATGGCCAAGAGCCAACCGGCTTATATAACCCAAAGATTACTGAGCTTCAGCTTTGTGAGAATAAGAAGTGTGCATATGTTAGAACCAGGCCCTCAAGGATGCTTAAGAGAGAACTGAAATAAGTCTGTGCTAGAAAAACATTTTTGTTTTGATACTTTTGATTTACTTCTAAAACAATTTCGTGTCTGGAAGCTCTCTTGGACACCTTACAGGTAAAATTCAAGGAACCTTTGATTGAAGAAATAATTTGAGTTGGAGATGTAGCTCAGTGGCAGAGTACTTACCTAGCATGCATGGGCCCTGCGTACCATCCCTGGCACAAGATGGTAATAATGTAAAGGCATTAATTGTTTAACTGTGATACACCTGCCTTTGCCTCTATTATAGTAAAATTAGGTTAATTTGTAATGATTTTCTGGAGTCTGCAGCTGCTGTAGTAGGTTAATTTTCAGTTGACAAGCCTGTTTTCGTCGGCTTGTTTTAATATTCTCTCTTTCTCTTTCCAGCAATTTTCCAGATTATTCAGAGTATCAGGATGGGCATGTGAAGTGACTGACCTTAAGACGTTGCCATTCTCCTGTGAATTTTAGCTTGAACTCATTCCTGATGTTCGCTGCCCTGGTTACAAACAATTGAGTAAATCGTCCTGCCTCAGAATGACGTTTTCATATCATTCTTCACGTGGCATTCCAAGGTTTCTTCAAGAGCCATTCCAGGTTTTCCAGTCCATACCACAGTGCCTTGCAAAAGCACCACATGAATAAGCAATAAAATTTGATTATTAAGCTCCAATAGTAGACTGTACTTATTCAGTACAGAATGAGTTTTATGTGGTTGTTAAAACTTACGGCTAATTAGATTAAATCTCTGTAGCCAGGGTATAGATTTTGTTAACCCTAATGTGTAAATGCAATTAGCTTAACTTAAATTTTGGAATCTTAAGGTTTTCTATAGCTAGGCACTTTATTACTCTCTTGAATGGAAAGCACACTCCATTATAGGGTCATCATGTAACTATCCTATAATAAGGTGCTTAAACGTGGACAACTACACAGCCTAGTTTCACACAATCGTCCTCACCTAAAATGTTTGAAAAGCTTCAAGGGCATACTATAAGTACCGGTTCTTACGGCTGCATCTGTGTTACCGACAATGTTTCTGTTACACAGCCTTGAATTTTGCATGAGTAAGTATAGTCACCTACGATCGATCGCGTTTGGAACTCGGTGGAGCATTTTGTAACGTAATCAGTGATTGCAGTTTCACTAAAAGCTATCATGTGGAATGAAATTAGGGAAGGTTTGCCTGTGTCATACTGATTTCACCAGAATGAATTAACAAGGGGTTTTCTGTGCTAGAAAACACTTCAGGGGGAAAGACTGTAGGAAGTGAATGCCTCCTCAGGACATGTTGAGTCTAGTGTGCCATAAGATATCTTAGCATGTTGATTGCACTTTTAATACCAAAAAGGCACATCAGCTAAAAAGTTATAATTGACATGTCTGTAGGGTACGAGGTCTGTCACTCTAAAGTAGCATTTGAAATGAAATGAACTTACTGATAAGGATCAGTCTCGTCTTCCTTTGTCTGACTTGATAGGTTGTGATTGATCAAATCTTTTTACTGATAGGGTGAGAGTGATGAGGCAGGGTTGTGGTTTCCTGGCGCTGTCAAAAACTGCAAGTCCTGACTATTTATGGACTTAGTCAGAACTTGGTGCAGAACCCAAGCAATTTCTGTGTTTATGAATTGGAAGAAGCCTGCTTATGTTTGCTTTGTCAATTGCCTTGTTCCTGAGGCAGTTTCTTGAAATAAACTGTTTTCAAAGGAACAGAAGGGAACTTTGCTACCTGTTCTGTAAGCAGTATAAGCCTCGGGGCTTTGTTTCCCCTCGGATGTAGAGGAGAGGGAAGGAAGGGGTGGTGAGGGATGTGAAGTGTTTGTGGACAGAAAAGAAAGCTGGCTATGGGGCTGCGGGGTCACTGATGCTTACCTGCCTCTTCACCCATAAGTGAATCCCTACACGTGATTCCCTCTGAAGCAAGTCTTGGTTAACTAATTCTATTTTATTATAACTTTAAAAGTGAAAGATAATTCTCTAAATTTATAGCAGGTGCCTTATTTCCTTTGAAGCAAATCATTCCATACCAGAATTTCCCTCGGTTTACTATGGATAATTGGCTTTAAGGTATTTTTGTTTTTAAACATACAATGTTTTAATTGATTTGTTGAATTGTACAGCAATCATTTCACATTTGTAAAATTACACCCCTCTGTATCATGTAATTCACCTATCGAGTACATTTTACATTCAGGTTGGGTTATGCATGTCTGGGTCAATGAAAGCTATGTCTGTTGGATTTATGGTTTAAAATAAAGTTCCCTGGATATTTGATGCTTTTGTTGTAAAAGAAAATGATTTTGCAGAGTTGTTATTTGAATACTTTTCATAGTTCATAGAAAATTATTTTAATGCCTGTATTTAGCCAGATTGGTGGTGACACATCCCTTTAATCCCAGTACTCAGGAGTCAGAGACAGGCAATTCTCTGAGCTCTAGGTCAGCCTGGTCTACAGGATGAGTTCTAGAACAGCCAGGGTTACACAGAGAAACCCTGTCTCAAAAAACTTCCTAAGAAAGAAAGGAAAGGAAGAAAGAGCATGCCTACTTAATTAAAGACTAATTAAGTGACTGGGTTAGGGTTACTACTGTTGCTGTTAGGAAATATCATGGCCAGAAAGCAAGTTGGGGGAGTAAAGGGTTTATTTGGCTTGCATTACCATATTGCTCTTCATTGAAGGAAGTCAGGGCAGGAACTTAAGCAGGTCAGGAACCTAAAGGCAGGAGCTGATGCAGAGGCCATGGGGTTGCTGCAAGTACTGGCTTGCACCTCATGGCTCAGTCTGCTTTCTTAGAGATCCCAGGACCTGCAGGCCAGTGATGGCACCACCCAGACTGGGCCCTCGCAGGCATTTTCTCAACTGAGCTTCTCTCCTTGTATGTCAAGTTGACATAAGACTGAGCATCACATTATTAAATTAAAGAGAAGTACGTAATTGTAAAAGTCTAATTGGACGTAATAGCAAGGAAAATGTATAAAAAGCAAGAAAATTCAACACTCATCTACTTAGCATGTAGTGGTTACTATCCAAGGTTGATTCAAGGAAAAACCACATTTCTTTGATATCACTTTTCTACTCGGATTTTATATTATCTTGTAATGTTCAGCACAGCATGAAAATAAGTGTACTCATAATGATCTAGCTCTAACAGAACAAGGCGTTACCATTTCATTGTATGTGCTAGCTTGTATACAATATTGCTGGAAATAAGTAGGCTTCGAAAATAACATTGTAGCAGGATTGCACTGTCATGGGCTTTGACTTATGTAATGTGTATACTTAAATATTCAAATGCAAGACCAACTTGCGCTCCCCAAGAGGGTTGTGATCTGGGGCACACAGCACTACCATACAGAACTGTTTTAGGACTTGGTACTGACTGGGTCTATCAGTAAAGCCATGGTGCTTGGCATCTATAAAACTTACAACATCTTGAAATTCTCAGTTTAAACTTATACGTAAGTTTGATTTGCTTTCCACCTCCCGTGGCAGAAGGTAGGCGTAGACTTCAGTAGCAATTCCGTCCCTCTGTACCCCAGTTTCTTTCAGATTGATGTGATAAAACACTCTTGACAAAGCAGCATAGGGGAGACAGTGATCTAGGGCTCCCCTTGGCTAACAGTTCCTTGTTATAGTCCCTCACAGTAGGGAAGTCATAGCAGCGGGAACTTGAGGAAGTTGTTTTTATCACATCTGTAATACGGATCAGCCATGAATACACATATTGCCGGTACTCAGTTTGCTTCCTCCGCTCCTGTAACGTCCAGGCTCACCTGCCTAGGAAATGGTGAATTGGTCTTCCCACCTCAGTCTAGATGCCCCCGCAGACATGAGCAGAGGCCCATCTCCCTGATGAGTCTAGATTCTGTCAGCTTAACAGTAAACACACTCCCTTCGAGCTTTTCCTACCCAGCTCCATTGTACCAAGTAGGCTCCAAATTGGGTTGAGATAGTGTGATCTTGTTCAGAAAAAAAGTATTAATGAGCAATGAAATACTAGAAACTAAAGAGAACATAAAAACTGGTCCTTCATGATTCAAATCCCTGCGTGTTCCAGAAACAAGCTGGAACTGTGGGAAGATGGAAAAGAAAATGCACATCTACCCGGTAACACACAGACGGAGCTGTGGAAGGCATGGCCGCGGCTGCCTCAGTAGCTCAGAGGAAACATGTAAATGCGGTGTGATAGCGCTGGCTGTCGCTGGGGAACAGAAAGCCGAGGTTTTCTGACTCACTGTGCTCCCCAGAAACCACAGACCCGATCACAAGATGGATGTGCATTTCACACGTACTTTGAGAAAAGCCTTTCATTTTTTTCAGGTCCTAATTCAAAGGGAAAAAAATCATCCTTTTATAAACGCAGTTTCTTTTGAAAGAACCACCAATAGCATTTGCTATTGGTTTTTCCTATAGTAGAAAAACGGAAAATTGTGTTATCAGCAAAACTATTTTTTAAATAATTATTAGGAGCTCTTGGGAGGCTGATGTAGGAAGGCTGCCCAGAGCTCCAGGCCTGCAAAGTGAGACTGGGAAGGAAGGAAGGTCTCCTTTTGTCTTTAAAGATATGAATCCCCATGATTTTTCCAGAGGTAAAATTTGAAGGTGCGCTGATGTTTTGAGAGTTTCCACTTCCACTGGGATGGAACTCTAGCCTTTGTTCTCAAGGGCACATCACACAGCTCCATTTGCCTTAGCCTTGGCCTTCACAGCTTCCCTCCATAGAATTGTTCTAGTCCTCATTTGCCAACTTCCTGTGCTTTTCAGCACGCACACACTGCATCACTGCCTGTCTTCTCAGATCAGTTTTCACTGCAGGTCTAGATACTGAACCTGTTAGAACTTAGTATACTTCGGTGATTATTACTTCCGAGCCTTACTTTCTTCTATCAAGTTTGGCCTCCCTAAGGACGAGAGCTCTATCTTTTTCTCTCCTGCTTCCACCACTCCCAGACCTCTACACAGTGGGACTCAGCGTATTAGCTAACAGACAGTCCAAAAGCAATGAACGCTTGATTATGGGTGATAACACCTCATCAGCAAGAATCTTGTCTTCCTGCTGGGCATGGTGGTGCATGCTTGTAATCCCCGTCCTCACGGGGCAGAGGCAGGAAAACAGAAGGTTAGACGTCAACGTAGACTGTAATTTGGACCTTATACTCCCACCCCAAATGCACATCACGTTGTACTACAATCCCTGCCACTGTGCTACAATGAGAGTTCAAGGCTAGTCTGGACAGTCGAGAAATAATCTTTAAAAAAAAAATTAAGTAGAAAAAAGCATACGTCGGTGTTAGATGGCTTGTCCTGCATGCATGAAGCCTTGGGCTTAACCCCGAGTGCCATCAAAGCAAATTAAAAAAAAAAAAAATCCAAAACACGCCATAACAAAACTTGTGTGCCCCTGTGAAATCCTCTAGCACTAGAGTAACAGTCACGCACCACTTAACCCCTCGTGACCTAGTTGAGAACTGTGCTCGGCACCAAAATGTAGTTTCTTGGAACAAACTCACCCAGGATAGACTTATAGGCTTGACATTTGGAAATACACCAAGAGCATGATATTTGTCCTTTCGTCATATTTGTAAAGGTCACATTAAGTGTTGAGAAAAGCAAAGAGCATTTTATCAAAGAAAGGTAATACCTGACTACACCAGTCAGTCTGGTTATAAGGGTGAGACACCTGCCACTTTGAGCCTGTGCCTGGGGGCTTCAAATTGCTCAGCTCCACTTCCATCTTCGGTTCAGAGGGGGTCAAGAATGCCCATATGACCTTCTCCACATAGGACCCCTGCAAGCCTGCTGGGTGGACCCCACACCAACTCTAGCCCTTGGGAACAGGTAGCCCCTCCTCACAAAGCAGCCATAGCACAGTGACCCGAGCATTTAGGACGTGGTGTGCTTACCAAACCAGATCTCATACGCTGAACAAAAGACTCTCTGGGTTCTTTCGGAAAATGCCTTGTGTGTAGCGCTCCTGGCCCCATGGCGCCAGGCGCCCTGGAGTGCTGGAGACTCGAGGGAGGCAAGTTTGGTTTTCTGTCAATAAGAACATAACTGCAAGTTCCAGGGCACTCGTACATCAGGAACTGAGTTGGTAATTTCTGATAAAGGTTAATCATAAAGGTAAATAGCTAGCCAGAGTATCAAAGCATGTTAGCTGCAGCCCAAGCCACAAAAGGACAATTGTTGAGATACCCTACAGGATTATGTGGAGACAGAAGCTTCCCGGAGGATGAAACCCGTTTCCAAAGCTTGAAGTCACTCATTCTTGCTTGAGAACAGTATTAAAACGTCTGATGCAAGAACCCTTTCTTCTGTTAAGGAGGACATGAAACTCCACCCTCATTGCCCAGTGCTGGCAGGGAAAAGCCAGGCCCCACCTCGTCGAATTGCCTGCCACTCAGAACAGGGTGCTGCAGCCATGGGTAACTTGGAAGTCTGTTGAAAATAGCGTCCCACCCTGGTCAAGGCTCTCTGAATTAGAGCTTAAGTTTTCTCCGGATCTCCCATGTGTTCTGTCTGCAAACTGACATTGGGAAATGTTGAAAAAAGACTAGACTTCCTTTTTTTTTTTTAAAGTATCTTTTAAAAATTATTTCAACGTCTGGCTGTTTTGTTTGTTTCTATGTATGTTCACCACAAGTGTACAGTGCCCATGGAGGTGAGAAAAAGGTGTCAGATTCCCTGAAACTGGAGTTAACAGACAGTTGTGAGCTGCCAGCTGCCATGCGACTGCTGGGAATTGAACCCAGATCCTCCGGACAAGCAGCCCATGCTCTTCGCTGCTGAGCCATCTCTCCAGCCTCCCATAGGGCTAGGTTTCTAATTCTAGCCGTGGCACTAAACGGCCTCATGGCCTAAAATCGCACAACCTTCTTTCTTTGTCTGACCGAGGGAAAGGAAATCTGTCTGCCTCAAACAGCTGTTACGATAAAAGCACTTTGCATAGTTAAAAATATTCAGTGCAAATAAGACACCGCTGACTAGGAGAACTTCAAAAACAGAGACATCTGATAGGGTGCGGGACTTTCCTCCCTGAAGGCAGAAGAAACGGCAGCCCTCACACCAGCTTGGCAAGAACTCACTCAGCCTCCAATCACTTGCTCTTCATAGATTTTTCCAACGTAATTTTACTTTGCCTTTAAACTACCGAGAACTTGCAGGACTGTGATTCATATTTGACTGTGTAACCCACAACATGAAATGCGTTTTGTATGTACTTGGTTCTCAAAGATCTGCTGCACTGGAAAAGAAAAGGAAAGAAAGAAAGAAA